ACGCGATGTTAAATTTTTACTGGTATTATCCCATGTAGGATTTACGTACTCGGCTCTTATTGCTAATGTTACTTCTCCAGCATATGTGCTCTCCGAGGGGGAAGACGGCTTTCATTTGAGTACCTCTCAAATTCTCTTTTACTCACAGTTGCTCAGAGCTACTCTGGTTTGCTCTGGGATCTGATCTAACGACGAAAACAGAATTAGTTTGGCATATAGACATTGAAATCTGACCATGCAAATGTTAGTTCGGATGCAATATTTGAGGTTCATGGAATCCCTCCACTTCGCGTTTTCACTGGCACTGGCCATCCAGAAGTCATACAGGTGGGCAAATTTAATGAAATGCTTGCCTCTCTGCAGCAGACATGTAGATTAATTTTGAACTTTGTCCATTAAGTAGATCACCAGATGTGTACCCGTGAAATTGCGAAGTGGTTAAACCAAATTGTGTGGAAAATGGATTCCGTCATTAGAGTCCTTAAATAATGGAAATGATCTCGTTTTCTACCAGTTGTTCCCTTGTTCCTCCCACTCAACCCTTGTGCCATCCATGACTACTGTCCGGACTTAACTCTTCTATTATCAACTCTGCTGGCAATCATATCCTCAAGTTGAGGACCTCAACCATAACATAACGCTGAAAATGACAAATCCCTCTGCCACTCCTTTGCTGTTGTTGGTGTGCAGATTAGTCCTGGACACGGGGATTGACCCTCCCGCTACAGGAAAACGATGAATGGGCATGTGCCACCTGGAAAGAACGACCAAGCAATGGGTGCAACTTGTAATTAATTGGTAGGGTCGTGATTGGACTGCTGCTGGTGAGAACTTAGGATTTACAATCAGAAATTGTTCCGTTGCATTTGTCATAGAGGTTTTGGCTATTTCCTTAAATTCCGGACGATGGCTTTCTGGAGGACATTTTTCATTTTGCAGTGGTAATGAAATTGTACAGGATATTTCCACCTTAATACTACTGAGCATCCAGATGCTTAGAGTAAGCGAATAGATAGATATTCCCCCAGCAACCAGCTCCGGTGAGGACATGTACTTGAGGATAAGTCCTGCGAGTTCCAAACTCCGATAAATGTGATTGCTTGGGCTGCGCTGTCAAACAATCGAGATAATACAACCGTTCATCAGAGAGCAAGAGAGTTCCTCAGAGTTACTCTGGATTGCTCTGAGTTTCTCACTGTCTTCCCCCTCGGTGCTCTCACCTCTCCTCTCATAATTCTCTGGAAGAGCAGAAGATCCGCACAACAGCAAATAACCGAAAAGCGAAATGCAGCTCTCCACCTCACAGCTCAGTTTTGGATCCGAATTAGAGTAGTGCGATCCGCTCCCGAGCTGTTCTAAAAACTTGATTCACTAAAGTGAGCTGATAACCCGCGGTTTAATTTTTAGGAACCGCAGATATAACAGGTCTTAAACAACTCCACTTACGCATTGAACAGCCACCGCGTAAACCAAGATGCGCGCGTAATACAACATGTCATCTATAGCATCAACGGTAAAAGCAAACTATGTCTACTGATATTATCCAATGTATTTACGTTCCCGGTTCTTATTGCTGCAGCATATGTGCTCTCACCTCTCTTCCCATCATTCTCTGGGGGAGCGGAAGATCCGCACAAAAGCAGATAGCCGAGAACAGCGAAATGCAGCTCTCCACTGGGAGCTGTTCAGGATGACAGCTCTCGGATCCGTCCAGCTCTTCGGATCTTTTTTCTCTCGATTCTTCACGATTCTGCTCCGGAACCGGATCTGATCCGAGAATAGTGAGAGTAATTTTGCTGGAGAATTTCAGCATTAAAATCTGTGTGTAGACTGAATTGCATAGCATGAGAAAAGGCGTCAATTGTATCATTGCGTGTGATTTTTTTTTTTTTAATTATTCGTTTATTTTTCCAGGCTCATTTGCTGTAGCTTTGCGGAGCCGATATTCATTGTTTAGATAACAAAATTACTTAAAACTAACTTTAGTAAAGCGGGGGCCGATTACTCGCGGCTATCTCGAGGTTAGGGGTAACAAATTGTAACAAATGGATGGCAGGGTAGGGATTGTGAACACAAGGTTTGGAGAGCAATGTGCTCTTAATCTCGAACTAGGCGACACTCTGATGAAAAAGACAAACATGGGGGTACACCGATGGGTAGCTAACAACTTGGGAGAACACAAGATGACACTAACTTCTAAATCCTCAAATCTATCCGCTTTAAAAACACATAAATTAAATTCAAATAGTCAAGGTCTCGGCTCGCCAAGACATCTCTAACGGGTATCGCGGGTTGTTTTCCTCGGGCCCTGAGGGATGTGGATAACTCAGATCTGGCAACACGGTGTAAGGTACACGACCAAACAACATGCTCGATATCGTGATAACCACTGCCGCACATTGCGTGTGATATAGTTATAGATTTCTCGCATACATTTTCTGCTTTTACTGATATGGCAATTTTTCGTGCATTTTAGTTTACGCGTTAGTGGTTGTTAGCGGTTGTTCAGTTGATGCGTTAGTGGCGTTTTTAATTGAAAAGTTGAGCAATGTTGTAAGCTACGGATTTATTGGTTTAGATTACTTTTACTATTTTATGTAGTTTTAAGATAAAGCTCCAAACCAAAACCATTTATTTCTTTTACGATTTTGAATTTGTGTCAAAATTTCTATAATTTCTATGTCCGATGAAGAGCTGTTCAAAAGAATCAGCTCCCCTTATCGAGCTGGGCGGGTCTGATCCGCTCAGTCAGATGAGCTGTTGGAGGCTCCAGCGAAATTTGTCTGTTGCGGATACCAAAAATTGTTTGTGTCGACAATCAAGTTTTGACACATCCGCACTGCCCAGGCGCAGAAATAGTGCAGTGATGCCAGTTTCTTTAGAGATCATAAAAATTATGTACTATGGGTGCCAATGAGTGTGCCATGGTGTGTCCTGCTGTGTTTTTGGCACACTGTGCTGAATTATCAACCCCTTGGCTTATCTCAAAAACTGATTAGTTGATATTTGAATTCAGCGAGGCAAAACTAAAAACAAATTCACTGAAAATGATCAAAGTGCGTAAAACACTACCATCTAGTGTTATTATTATCTAGATAAATAAATCCTATGGTTTTGACAGATCGGATTGCTGCACATTTGAATCTGTGTTTATAGATAAAGTTGAGCCACAAAAGAAAATTCCAGTCATGTTGAATGCCTCTTACTAGATTTGATCTCAAACAACCTTATTTCCAATAAAAACCTTGATCTTGTCCAACATTTCACACAGTCGAACAATCTCCGATCCACGAACGAAGGCGTGAAATGCAAATTGATCTTAAAAAAATATCATTAGCCATAAACGCATAAATTTATGTGCCACCGTCGTCATTGTCGAGATCGTTCGTTCGGCATGGACCATCGAAATATGGTGTGGGTGACGCGCTTGCTCTCGATATTTATTCATTAATTCGATCGCTTTCTTCCGACGTCCATGCGGCGCGCGGCGTCCTCGATCTTCAATCCGATCCGATCTCCTCCGGGCTCGATCAGTTGCGATGCTGAACGGTGGGCGGGCGGCGGGCTAGCTGGATTAAATGAGCGCGAATTGAATAATGAAAAGTGTAACTGTTGTTAAATCGATCGATCGATCGGTCGGTCGGCGGCACTCGTCTTTTCTCAAGTTTAGCGTAACAGCGCAGCCGTTTCAATGGCCGCGGTAGGTGGAGTAGATCTCTCGGTGGCGGTGTCCGGTGGAGAAATCGGCGACGAAAGCTATGGAGCTACTGAGAAAGGGTGAGAGAGAGAGACAGTGGTGCGATGTTAATCAGATCGAGGAGGACGGAATTGCATTCCAAAGGGGTGGAATTATACGATCTCGATTACCAATTGATGGGATGATCCACCCGAAGGAAATAAGTATGCTAGCATGAGTCGTCCTATCAGTCTCAGTTGTGGTGGCTGAGATATTGTTAGAAAATAGAAAAATAAGTTTAGATCGTAATTTTGAGGCTATGAATCAAACTGGAGGTAGCAAATACTTTGTTTTTTTTTTGTAGTCAAAATGAAGCACCCTAATGCTCAGTGTACTTCCTTATCATCCCACGTTTTCAAAAATCGAACATGAAATTTCACTTCACCAGTGTCGAGTGCCTTCGCTTATGTTGTTCCCTACTGCAGCCGCCGCCTGCACTGTTTACCCCCTACAGAGCAATCGAACGGACGAAGAATGCATTCGGAAAGATTTCCCAGACCGACAAACACCAGAAATAACAAACAATTAAGATAAACAAAAGTTCCCTGAACAAGAATTAATTGCTCAAGTGCGGGTCAACCAACATGGGAAACAAGAAGGCAGGAACGCTAGACTGCACAGTTATCGAGGAACAACGCACGAACGGAGAGAAACCGTGCATTCCCTTCCTAAAATTTCCCATTGCCCATATTGTTTTGTTTGTTGGGAGTTGCGCGCTGCTCTGGAAAACAAATCGGAGGTTCAATGAATTTTTAAAGATTATTACACCTTCTTCTTACTATAGCACTACTAACACTAATACTACAACGATCGAGAGCAAGAAGAGAACCTGCCACGCGCAGCTTCCACCCCGACGAAACGCATCGTGTTGTTTTTGTTTGTTTCGCTCGTTTCTCACTCTTCTACTACCACCTTGCCCTGCCCCCTGCCCTGCCCTCAATGAATAAGTTAATTACTTTAAACTTTCGAGCCTCATTGTTATTCTTTGCCGGATGATTTTCCACTGCCCCGGGTTATGGCCTCGTGCAATGTTTCGGGGAATTTTCGGGTGAACCCCCCCTCCCCATCCTTCCCTAACGGTACGATTTCTTCCACAGCGTGGTTTTTTGCTTGGAGTGCGAGTCGGATTGGGTTTACCCTTTGCGGTAAAAATCAAAATTATTCTACTTTTTCTGCCCTCGCTCAGCCATTTAGACAATTTAAAGTGCGATCTGACGAAACTAATGAATGTTTGTTTTTGCTTGTGCGTGTTTTTCCTTTGCAGGTCCGTCTCGAGTCCATCGGAGCGGAAGACATCGTCGATCACAATCCCCGGTTGATTCTGGGTCTCATCTGGACCATCATCTTGCGGTTTCAGATTCAGGAGATCGAAATTGATGTGGTAAGTATGGATGCGAGTTGGGAATTGTGTTTTCTTCAGATTGAATTTTATGCGGATCAAACATCTGGCTTTGGGAGATGGGCCCCGAACAATGGTCGACAAAATTTCATTCATTAGGTATTCATTGACTACGAAAAAGCTTTCGGCAGGCTCAATCGAGAGAATCTGTGGGGCGCCCTGAGACGCTCAACCTCATCGAAGTACGAGGCATTCATTCACAGCCTTATCCGATCCAATCCGCTGGTGTCAGGTTGATAATCATGGTAGGTGCAATTGACCGTGTACCGAACCGTGCGCTGCTTAGGAAGCCGAACGGTCCTAGCCAAACGCTCCCTCTGCGGCGGGTCTCAACGTCAACAAGACCAAATCGTTGGATTTCAATGCGGACAACCCATTTCAGCTTAAACCAGTTTAGTCAACGCACTAATTCAAACGTGAAATCTGTACGGTTATAGGCTCAGAAGCTTCAGTTATGCATCAACCATTGTGGTACACAATTCGTCCCTGTTGGCCACACAGCTGAATCTTGAATGCTGCGCTTCATCGCCAATGTCATCAAAAGAGAATATCAACAGAAATTTGTGAGCGTTAGTGAAGGTGGGTCTTCAAAACGCTACGAAGGGGTGGTATCGAAATGCAATCAACTGTTGGATTGAAATCCAGCAGAGACTCACGGCGGTGGAGCTCCAACATGAAAATCAAGCAAGTCAATAGGAATCTGACGTGAGTTTCAGGTCAAAGCAAAAGCAATCAGCCACCCATGATGGACCATTGTACCAATGGAGGTTCGCAGGATACATGAAAGTGTGACAGAGTCTTGTGCATGAACATGAGCATGATTGACCGCCTGTGGATGCAACTCCGTTATTGCCAGATCAGCTGTAATTACGCAGAGAACCAATAGACGTTGCTTGGGACTAGCAATCATTCTCAATGTGTAAATACTGGTGTTCTAAAACAAGGCAATACCAGCGCCGGCCACGTCCGAATGCTGGTCATGAAAGCAATGGGTAGGAATATGTTGACGCAACTTGCAAACAATGTTGTTTACAACAATGGGCTTTTGTATACAATATTTGCTACATTGCATGAAATGTCTCAGAGCTTTACATGATACATAATGTAAACTTATATGATATGTGACGCTCCATTTATGTGCATCATACTGAACAGAAATGTACACTACTTTTTCGAAATGTGCACCGCTGCACTTCCACGAGAAATCACTGGGATGTTGGATAAAAGGGTTGGGATTGCAGTAGGATTCGTTTTGGTAAACGATGTGCTGAATTCAATAGCGCGATGGAGCGTAGAATTGAACCCACAGTCTTCTGCTCAATAAACAAAATCGGTCGCCACTAGGTCACCGAGCTCCTTACTATATATCACAAAACAGTTACGTTCATATTTCCGTTCAACTTGTTGTTATCCCGGCGGCGACCTCACCAACGACGTCTACAACAACTGTTCTTGAGAAGGAGAACAGGGTGTATACTACCTGGAAAAACCTGGAAAACCGGGAATTTACAGGGAATTTTATTTTTTCTGGAAAAAACCTGCAATATTCAGGGAATTTTGGTTCCACTCGGGGAATTTTCCAACTATCACGTCATTCGTAATTCAAAAGAAGTTTTTCGTTCAGTTTCTCGAAACGTTTCTTAAGGACACTGAACTTGACAAGCATCTGAAAGCTAAGACAACGTGTGCGAACGAGACAAGTTCATTCAGAGAGTCTTGTCACGCTCGCTCTTCGCTGATTTGTATGTGGAGGATCAAAATCGTCGTAAAAAGGAAACAGCCGAAAAAGAGAGACTGGCAACCAGGGCGTCACAATATCAGCTTCAATCGACCAAATCGATGCGACGAAGAGACTGCTGGCTTTCTTTTTCTGTTAAAGTCGAACAGCTTCGCAGCATTCTAGAACCTCAGTTACAAATGTTTAATTGCTTGTCTCTCTTTCTCTCGTCGCTCCATTGGTCTTCCTTTCAGGCTTCGGTGAAACGGATGAGCGAAAGAGCGCTCGACTTTGATAGTTTTCTCTTTCATGAAACGCATCAACAGAGGTTTCATGACGTATATGACGGAAAATGAAATTACACATTTAAAGCATTTCTCACGTGAAAACACTTGAAGATTACACGTAATATGTTTGATGTATCTTCCATCCACATATTTATCTAAAAAAAATTAACGAAAACGGGACATAACGCATTTTAAACAAATTGAAAAAGCGGTGATAGAATGTTCGTGAAAGGGGATTGAAAGCCATAATGAGGTTTCGTTTAACTAGAAAATCGACATCACTTACATTGAAAGCGATTAGAAAAGCAACGACGAGAAGATCCACAGCCAGCGTTTCCTTCTAAGCGTGCTTCTTTTTCATTATCATTTCTTGCTGATAGTCTAGCTAGGCGTTATAGAAATGAAGCGTTGAACACGTTTGTATGAGAGAAACAAAACTCGAGTTCATTTTAGAGCTTCGAAAATGTAGAGCCCTGCTGGCAAACGTCAACGTCATTTTCATCTTCATATCGCAGCTCTTGATGGACAAGATGAGCCAAATCCCTGCCGGTGTTCCTCCTGAGCAACCATTTCCTACTCCACAAAGTTCACCTTCTCTTTCTCATTTTATTTAAAATAATAAAAGCAAATACGTCTGCCGAAACTAGAGCAATTTTCCGGTAATTCATGATGGTAGTATTTACTTTTGATTCCTGATACAGTTTTGTTTTGAAATCTAAATTGACAGTTCTTTCGACATGTGCAAGCAGTGTGAACACCAGCAAACAGGGGGGTTCGATAAAATAATAATGTCTATAATTTGTATGCACCTGGAATTTTTTCATCCGACCTGGAAAAACCTGGAAAACTCAGGGAATTTGATTCCTTGGATTGAGTAGACACCCTGGAGAACGATTTGATATGGATTTCCGATCAACACGTCTTTCCTAAAACTCAAATATTACTTCTTTTACGTATCCGGTCCTCCACCCGAATTTCTTTACGCTTTACATCGTATTATGCAAGAAAGCAGGTTCAAAGTATAACTCTATAATATGAAGGAGCTTGAGATTGGACCCATGATTTTCTGCTCAGCAAGCAAAATCGGTCGCCACAAGGCCACCGAGCTCCTTATATTAAAAAAAATACGATCAAGTTCCCGTTCAACTTGCTGTTGTTAGATTTCGGTCTTGGCGGCGACCTCACAAACGACGACAACAACTGCTCTAGAGAAGGATTTGATATGGATTTCCGATCAACACGTCTTAAACAGACGATCTTCTTTTTTTCCTTGATTTGTTTTCCGTCGATCTTGTTTTCCGGGCTGAGCACCAATGGTATCGACGCCAGGGAGGCAGCTCCCACACCTGGACCCTACCTATCGACCCATCAACTCATGAACCGGGGACCAACGGCTTTACTTCCCTTCCGAAGGAAGGTGTGATCAGAGATGTTGTGCCTCAAAAAATTTCGGCGGCGCCGACTGGTATTGAACCTAGGCTTACTGTGGTGAGAGACAATCACGCTTACCACTACACCACCGGCGCCGCTAGACGATCTTCTATTCAGTAAGCAAAAGTGGCAGCCATCAAGCTAGCCGAGCTCCTCAGTTAAGTTTTCGAGACGTTATTTAGTAAAGATTGAATTAAATTTAAACAAATGACTGGGAAGGATCTCATCCGACTGATCTGTAAGTAGTTGCCCTCCATGTTCCATCCAAAATAAAGGTCAACTTCAGAGAACTTGTGGTTCAACTCTTTCCAATCTACAGGACTGAGGTGGCAAATAATAATAAAAAAAAAAACAACCATTAGGCCCTCAGTGAATTTTCATTTTTATAATTCCAGTATTTTCCCGGTTTTCCCGATTCAAATACAAAAAATATCCCAGTTTATAATATTCAGTAAAAAACCTAAAGTATTCAGTGATTATTTTTCTAAACCATGACCAGGTGCAAATTTACGATAATATTTGTTGATAAATTATCTTCAATAGCAACACTAATCATTTTTCAAAGCTGAAAGCAATAATTCAACGAAATGGCTCGCTTGATATATTAAAAACAAGCCATTGATCTTTACGATGTTTTTATCCTCCATTATATACGTTTTACAGTCACCCCACAATTCTAGATAGAGCTGGAATTAGGGACTAACAGCTTTTGTAAACAATGACTTCTATTGATGATTTCTTGAAATTCAAGGCTCGCCCACGCAAACCAACATCCTCATCGGGTAGGGAAAGACTTTCCCTATTCGATGGTTATGTTGGTCTGTGTGGCCGTGCTTTGAATTCCTAGAAACCATCGATAGAAGTCATTGTTTACAAAAGCTGTTACGCCCTAATTCCAGCTCTATCTAGAATTATGGGTTAATTAATAATAATTATGAATCTATGAGTTCAGCGTGTAAGTCAACTGGAAGTGGCGATAATTATGTGCTAAGTAGTATACTTTTCGAGTTAGAGTCAATTTATGGCAAGCATAGACCAAAACAGTTAAATTATTATAAATCAGTAATCTTTAAGATTTGATCATATGGGTGGAACAAATTTTTTCATCAAATATGATCTTTTGTCACCCCTTACCATATTTGCAACCGAACCTATTGAGGGCCACCCTATTGTTTAAAACCTCCAAAAGAAATTAAGCGTCCATTCGAGAGAAATCGACGATTGACTTGTTTGTTTACAAAAGCATACTTACCTTACCAATCAGGCTAAGGCCTTGTTGTCCTCTGCTGTCCGAAGAAGTCGTCTCCACTCTACTCGATCCATGGCCACAGTTCGCCAGCCTCGTAGTCTGCGAAGGGTCCGCAGGTCACCTTTTACTTGGTCGATCCCCTTGCCCGCTGCGCGCCTCTTCTTCTTGTTCCTGTTGGGTCGCTTTCTATAACCATTTTCACTGGGTCGTCGTGCGGCATTCTTACGACGTGCCCAGCCTCCTCCACGAGCAAAGTCCAGGTCTCGTGGCCGTAAAGGACCACTGGTCTAATCAGCGTCTTGTAGACAGTCAACTTCATGCGGCGGCGAATTTCAATCGACCGGAGCGTCCTCCGGAGTCCAAAGTAGACACGGTTCCCTGCCATAATGCGTCTTTGAATTTCTCTGCTGGTATCATTTTCGGCGGTCACCAGTGAGCCCAAAATACACGAACTCAGCGACCACCTCGATTTCGTCACCGTCAATCTGAACTCGGGGTGGGAGGCTAACAATGTCTACCCTAGCACCTCTTCCTTTCATGTATTTTGTATTTGATTCGTTGATGGCAAGTCCAATCCGCCTAGCTTCAGCCTTCAGTCTGATGTACGCTTCCGCCATCGTCTCAAAGTTCCGTGCCATGATGCCATCGGCGAAGCCAAGAAGCTGGATGGACTTCTTGAAGATCGTGCCACTCGTGTCTATCCCAGCTCTTCTGATCACACCTTCTAACGCGATGTTGAATAGCAGACACGAAAGTCCATCACCTTGCCGTAGCCCCCTTCGAGATTCAAAGAGACTCGAGAGTGTCCGCGATACTCGAACTACGCACATCACTCGATCCATCGTCGCCTTGACCAATCGCGTCAGTTTATCCGGAAATCCGTACTCGTGCATAATCTGTCATAGCTGATCTCGATCGATTGTGTCGTATGCGGATTTGAAATCGATGAACAAATGATGTGTGGACACGTTGTATTCGCGACATTACTGCAGAACCTGCCGAAAATTTGGTCCGTGGTAGCGCGGGCACCCATGAATCCCGCCTGGTATTGCCCCACGAACTTTCTTGCAAAGGGTGACAGGCTGCGCTCAGCGGTGTGATTGCGCGGTAGTTGCAGCAATCCAACTTGTCGCCCTTTTTGTAGATTGAGCATATGACACCTTGCATCCACTCCTCCGGTAATATCTCCTCCTCCTAAATCTTGGCAATTACCCAGTGCAGCGCTCTAGCCAGTGCTTCACCACCGTATTTTAATAGCTAACTTGGTAGCTGATCTACACCAGTTCCTTTGTTGTTCTTCAGCCGACCGATCTCCTCGACTTCTTGAAGATCAGGGGCCGGTAGCCCGTCGTCTTCTACGCGTGCTCCAAGGTCTGTTGCCGTGCCACCATCGTTTTCTGCTGCACCACCGATGAGGTGCTCGTCATAGTACTGCTACCACCTCTGAGAAGGTTACCGTCCAAGTCCTTGCACATATCGGCTTGCGGCACGTAGTCTTTGCGCGAAATATTTAGCTTCTCATAGAAATTCCGTGTGTCGTTTACGTGGTACAGATTTTCCATCGCCTCGCGATCAAGGTCTTCTTGCTGATGCTTCTTCCTTCGGAAAACCGAGTTTAGTCTGTTCCGCGCTTGTCTGTATCGCTCCACATTCAATCTCGTGCGGTGTTGCAGCATTATCGCCCGTGCTGCATTCTTCTCCTCGACTAACAGTTTGCATTCGCCGTCAAACCAGTCATTTCTTCGGTCCGGGATCGTAGTACCTAGTGCCGCTGCAGCAGTACTACCTATGGCGGAATGGATGTCCCTCCAGCCATCTTCAAGAGAAGCAGCGCCAAGCTGCTCTTCCGTGGGTAGTGCAACTGCTGCGCGTAGTCCTGAGCAACTCCGGCGTCCCGGCGCTGCGCATAGAACGCTTCTTTCTCGTTGGCGGGTCTCCCTTCGTGTGGGTAGTGCACGTTGATGATGCTGTAGTTGAAGAAACGGCCCTTAATCCTCAACTTGAACATCCTCGCGTTGATCGGCTGCCAAGCAATCGCGCGTTGGCGCATCTTACCTAGCACCACAAAGCCGGTTCCCAGCTCTAGCACAGGTAGAAAGTAGCCGCTCAAACATATATGTTTTTATATATTCAAGACAGTTAATTTGATAGTCCCTAATATCATTTTCCTCAGTCTATTGCCAGATTTTCTTTTTGGGTAAAAATTCACATTGCCAATGCCTCTCCAAATTGCTTATGAAGCACTTGTTTTAAAAGTAATTGTTCAAGTTATTTCCGATCCGATTGAAGGAATAAAACCAACAATCAATACGAAACTAACGATTTTAAATTGGCTCACTACTTGACTAGCCAATTGGTCCCAAACAAATCTATTAACGTATCCCATTCTAGTGGAAATTCTAGTAATACACTATGATTCGCTATGAAAGTTTGACAGATAAAATGAGGGGTTCGTAGATTTTCCTATGTTTTGAGGGGTGCATCGATTAGCTTGGGACCGAAGAAAGTACCAGAGCTGAGCCAAAAAGTTGAACACGTTTCTTCGGGACCTTCTGGTCTTAGAGTTACCTCTATGATAAAACTTTCCGTAATACATGCACGCTCAAGTGACTCAGGACAGCTTTCGGTTTAAGTATTGATATTTAAATATGAGTTATATAACAAAACTGGAGACGTGTTTTTAATGCAATTCAAGATTAGGATATTTGGCTGTCAGGTTTAATCAAATTACGTCATTTCAACTAACCGGCTGCTCAATATGACACGCAAATCAATCATCTTATTATGAGTATCGTCCAGCAAACAGAACTCACAGGCTTGAAGAAAAAAAAATGTATTTTAAAATTGCAAGCTATTATATCTGAATTGTGTATGATTTGTTGAAGAAAATCTGCTTCGTTACTCATCAATTCGCTAATTCGGATATCAATTATATAATGCAGTATGCAACTCTAAGTCTAAGTCACTGGAGTTACTAAGACAATTATAGCTCAAGATGATGACGATGACGACGACGACATACTGAAGGTTGAACTTCATTCTGTACAGCAAACAACGAGTTCAAAAATTCACAATCCGACTGAACAGACTTCGTTCGACCTAGGATGTTACTAGCAATGATGAAAAATGACTCAATAATTGCTACGGAAGAGGGTTTCGATTGATCAATATGGGCTGATGAACCCCTAGCTAGCTTTAATAGTTCCACCTTTGATTGAACACTTGCTCGACCTTCCCGTCACACTATGGTAGCACCAATACTTAATCCAAATTTAGCTCGCAAGCAAATCCTAACAACACAATACAATACCCGACTACGAATGATTACTATTATTATGGGTCCAAATCCACCGACTTTTCGCATTTTGTTTTGATCCCAGGTGGAGGTCCAACAAGTTCAAACCTACACTTGTCCTACGCAAACAAAGCACCACCGGGCTACCGAATTCGACTTTGATTGACGGGCCGTATTTCGTGCTTCGTCTCTCTTTTTCAACAACCGAAAACATTTGCGCGTTTCTCTTTTCTTATCGCTCGGAACCGGTTTGGGATTTTTTGGCCGAGCCTAGTCACACAATCCTGACTGCTGCTCTTGTACGGTATTATGTTACACTCTTCCACCGAATGGCTATACAATCATTAATCAGATGCAGATGAGGGGCTACGCTGGTTCCGAAGCTAAATTAGCACTAATTTATTCGACCTTGAGGGGATTCGTCGAAAGCCATCATATGTATAGTTGATTTTGCTAAACGCTCCTTCCTTTTTCTCCATTTCTTTGCCGCCACCCGTTAGGACGAAGAGAACGAATCATCGGAAAAGAAATCCGCCAAAGACGCCCTGCTGCTGTGGTGCCAGCGCAAAACCCAGGGCTACCAGAATGTACACATTACCGATTTTACCAGCTCGTGGCGGTCCGGATTGGGCTTCAACGCGCTCATCCACTCGCACCGGCCGGATCTATTCGACTACGGCAGCCTACTGCCGGGACGGAACATCGAGAACCTCAACCATGCCTTTGAGGTGGCCGACCGGGAACTGGGCATTCCCCGACTACTGGATGCCGAGGATATCGACACGGCGCGTCCCGACGAGAAATCGATCCTGACGTACGTGGCCAGCTACTACCACACGTTCGCTCGGATGAAGAACGAACAGAAAGGTGGCAAGCGAATTGCGAACGTAAGTACCTTCTTTACTCCGCCCGGTGGCCCATGTTCATTTAACAAACCATTTTAATCCCACAACAGATCGTCAACAAACTGATGGATGCCGACAAGAAGAAGATGCAGTTCGAAAGCCTCATCACCGATCTGCTGAGCTGGATCCGGAACAAGACGTCCGAGCTGGAGAAGCGCAACTTCCCCAACTCGGTCGAGGGCATCCAGAGGGAATTGCTAGCATTCAAAGAGTACCGTACCATTGAGAAACCCCCCAAGTACAAGGAACGATCGGAGATCGAAGCCTTGTTCTTCCACGTCAACACCTTGCTGAAGTCGCTAAACCAGCCGCACTACACCCCTCAGGAGGGCAAGATGATCAACGATATCGAAAAAGCTTGGCAACGGCTGGAAAACGCTGAACACAACCGGGAGGTCGCCCTCCGGGAGGAACTGCTCCGCCAGGAAAAATTGGAACAGTTGAACTACAAATTCGAAAAGAAGTCAGTATTAAGAGAAGGTTATCTGAACGAGATGATCCAGGTGCTTTCGGATCCGAGGTACGGAGCCAACATTCGTCAGGTGGACGCCACGGTGAAGAAGCACGAAGCCATTTCCGCCGACATCTTGGCACGCGCGGATCGATTCAATGACCTCACGTACATGTGCAATGAACTACACAACGAGAACTACCACGGAAAGGAACGGGTCCGGAAACGGGAAACGGAAGTCATCACGAAATGGAAGGAACTGCTAGAACTACTGGAAAATCACAAAATCAAGCTAACCCAATTGAGCGGGCTCATGAACCTTCTGCGGGAGATCGATGCCACCATGAGCACGATCCAGGCGCTGAAGGACCAATTCGCTTCCGAAGATGTTGGACCACATCTGCTCGGAGTTGAAGAGCTCCTACAAGCTCACTCGCTACTGGAACTCCAGGTCACCACCGTGGGTGAAACCCAACGAAGATACATACGCCAAGGTGAAGCATTCAAAAAATCCGGAACGAAAGATACCACCCAGCTGGATCAGAAATTCGATCAGCTGGCCCAGTCCTACCAAGAGCTACAAGGTTGCAGTGCCGAACGCAGAGCGCGGCTAGACGAAGCTCGCGACTTCTACCAATTCGTAGAAGACCACGAAAACGAAGAGGGTTGGCTAGTAGACAAGCAACGCATCTGCAAGGCCGGCATTACTGCCAAGGACCTACGCGCCGTCGTGTCCCTTCAACAGAAACACAAAGCCCTCGAAGACGAAATGAAAGTCCGCAAACCCAAGTCGATTCAAATCACGGAAGCTGGCAAGAAACTGATCACCGACAAACATCCCCGAAAGGCTGATGTTCAAATCAAGATCGAATCACTCCAGGAACACTGGAAAGCACTGGAAGATCTGGCCGACGTACGTAAACGCCAGCTGGATGACGCTGCCGAGGCGTACCAATTCTACGCCGATGCCAACGAAGCAGACTCGTGGCTGAACGAAAAGATGGCGCTGGTCGCATCCGACGACTTTGGAGTCGACGAACCTTCCGCACAGGCCCTGCTTCAACGTCACCGTGATCTGCAAGGTGAACTAAATGCCTACTCCGGAGATATCCTAAACCTGAATCAACAAGCCGACAAGCTTATCAAAGCCGGCATCTGCACACTGGATCTATCGGCAGAACCGGAACCTGCTCAGGAACTAGAACAGGAAGAGTGGGTGAACGAAACTCGCTTGGTTCCGAAGGAAGTATGGGAAGAGGAACCCGTTGAACGTCTGGAGCGCAAAGCCGTAACCGAAAACAAACTGCTGCCGCACGTTCGGGCGCTGTATCCCTTCGATGGGCAGGGGATGAAGATGGCCAAAAACGAAATCATGATCCTTCAGAACAAAACCAACCCGGATTGGTGGAACGTCCGAAAGACTGACGGAGCGGAAGGCTTCGTTCCGGCAAACTATGTAAAAGAAATCGAAGCACGACCAGTTGCTTGCTTAATCCAGAAAACCGAAAAGGTCAAGGTTATGCAAAAAGTAAAAAAGACCATTCTGGTCAAGCAGGTCATATCGGTGAAACGTGTACGCCCGGCAAAGGTTAGCCAAGTCAAACCGCTGGTCAAGCGACGAACCGAAGGAGACACCTCGATCGACAGCAACGACAGCGTCGACAAACGCCAAAAAGACATCAACAGCACATACGATCAGCTGCAGGAACTGGCTGAGAGGAGACGTGCCCTCTTGGAGGATTCGATTTGCCTCTTCCGCTTCTACCGAGAATGCGATGATTTTGAAAAGTGGATCAAAGACAAGGAGAAGATGCTCCGTACGGATGATCCGAAGGACAACGTGGAAAGCGCCAAGAGGAAATTCGAGACATTCCTCACGGATTTGTCCGCATCATCGAAGCGAGTGGAAGCTATTGATTCCGACGTGGAAGACTTTGTCCGCCAAGGACACTCACAGCTGGATAAGGTTAAGGCTCGCCAGAGGCAGATTCATCAGATGTGGGAACATCTTAATTACCTGAAGGGACAGAAGGAAAAGAACCTGGAAGGAGCTTCCAGTGTGGAGTTGTTCAACCGCACCTGCGAGGAAGCAATCGATTGGATGAACGAGAAAATGACCCAGCTGGATTCGGCCGAGGTGGGTCCAGATCTTAAGACTGTGCAAGCACTGCAGAGACGGCATGAAAATCTGGAACGAGAGCTTGCGCCCGTTCAAGAGAAGGTCAGCCGCGTTAACCTGCTCGGTAACACGGTGAAGAGTTCGTATCCATCCGAGAGGGATAATGTCACCGAGAAGCAGAAGGACATCCAAGGTCTATGGAAAAAGGTCGAAGAGAAGGCCAAGGAACGTAGATCCCGACTGGAGAACGCGGTTGGTCAACAGATATTCACGAACAGTTCCAAGGCTTTGCTGAACTGGATCGAAGGAGTTCACAATCAATTGGATGCAGATCAACCCGCCCGTGATGTGGAAACAGCTGAAAATATGCTGAAGAAGCACAATGAGCTTGGGGAAGAGATCAAAGCCCACGACGACGAGTTCAAACAACTATCACAGCTGGGTAACCAGCTGCTACAACGCAATCCAAATCTGGTAGAAGTACCAGAAACCCTGAAGAAGCTAACCGCCGAGCAAGAAGCGGTATACGCTGCGTGGCGTATCAAGGAGAAGAAACTGCAACAGTGCATAGAGTTGCAGGTGTTCAACCGCGAAGCGGATAAGATCGATGCTACCACCAAGAGTCACGAAGCGTACCTGGAGTACGACGACCTGGGCAACTCGTTGGACGATGTCGAGGCTATCCTGAAGCGACATACCGATTTCGAAAATAGCCTTGGAGCGCAGGACAAGATTCTGAAGAATTTTTCCGAAAGTGCTGATAAACTGATTCGGAACAAACATTACGATGCCAAGTACATCGCTGAGCGACGCGATCAAGTGCTGGCCCGCCGGGAGAAGGTCAAGGATCTTGCCCAGAAGCGACGCAATGCACTACAGGCGTCCAAGGACTTCCAGAAGTTCAGTGCCGACGTGGATGACTTGAACGCCTGGTTGTCCGACAAGGCCAAGATCGCCGGCGATGAAAGTTACAAGGATTTGACAAATCTACCGAGGAAACTGCAGAAACATAAAGCGTTCGAGAGGGAACTGCGTGCTAACGAAGGACAGCTTCGTACGGTGAACAAGGAAGGTGAAGCACTGATCAAGACGAACAACCGAGCAGAAGAGGTGACGTTGATGATTGCGGCGGTGAATCAGAAGTGGAAGGATCTGAATCAATCATCGCTGGAGAAGGGAAGACGTCTGGAGCAAGCATCGTTGCAGAGGGAGCATAACCGCAACATCGAGGATGCCAAGAGCAAGTTGGAAGAGTTGGACGCTGCACTGCAGAGCAAACAGGTCGGAAATGATCTGCGCAGCTGCAAGGATCTGATGAACAAGCATCAGATCTTGGAGAACGATGTCGGCATGTGGGAACAGAAGGTAGCTGAGTTGGTGACTTCTGGCGAGGAAATGGCCCATGAGGGGCACTTTGATGCGAACAATATCAAGAATGAGACGAAGAAACTACAGAATCAGTTCAAGGACTTGAAGGGGCCGGCGGCCAAGCGGCGCGATGCGTTGGATGAAAGCTTGCGCTTCCATAAGTTTGTATTCGAGTTGGACGCTGAATTGCAGTGGATCAACGAGCATCTACCGGCTGCGAGTTCCGAAGTCATTGGGCAAAACTTGCATCAAGCTCAAAGCCTGTACAAAAAGCACAAAAAATTGGAAGCTGAGATCGAAGGTCATCAACCTATGATCAATAGGACGCTGACTTCGGCAGAGAACTTGATCAACCAGGATCACCCGGAGAAGGCGAAGGTTCGGGAGTTGTGCAACACACTGGAACTCGCCTGGAATGACCTGCAGGAGAAGGGTAATGAACGTTCGAAAAAGTTAGAACTTTCGCTCAAGGCGCAACAGTACTTATCGGAAGCTGGGGAGATTGAAACCTGGCTCGGAGAGCGCAACAACGTGCTGCGGTCGACGGACTATGGACGCGATCGCGACTCCGCTACCAAGCTGTTGACGAAGCACAAAGGTATCGAACTGGAACTGGATACGTATTCGGGGATTGTGTCGGAAATGGGCCATTCTGCTTCAACCATGGTATCGTCGAAGCATCCGGACAGCAAGGTGATCGCTGCCAAGCAACAGTTGATCGAGAAAATGCTCAAGTCTCTGCAGAAGCTGGCAGCTCAAAGGCAGCTACGGTTGATGGAGAGTCTCTACCGACACGAGTACTTCATGGAATCCGCCGACCTAGAGCAGTGGATCAAGGAACAGGAACAGGCCGTCAACTCGGAGGACTATGGCCATGATTATGAACACTTATTGGTGAGTGTAGCGGGGGAGCTTTCATGTGGATTGGTTTAATAATATGGGATTTTTTTTTCGCGCAGATCTTAAAGAACAAGTTTGACGACCTGAAGCACCGCATCGAAGTCGGAGCGGAGCGATTCAATCAATGTGAAGAGTTTGCCAAGAAGCTCATCAGCAGTGACAGCCCATACGCCGCGGATATCGAGAAGCACCAGGATCAGCTCAGGTATGTTTGTTCCGGGTGATCTTGGTTCTGTAAATAGCTTGAAACTTTATTCTGTTCTCTCTTTCTATGTTTTCTTTATTCTTTATGTTATTCTTCTTCTTCTGTATACTCTTGAATTAATGCATGCCAATTACTGGGGGATGTCAAATAAAAATATGAATGACCTTAAATTTGATAGAGGGAAGCAGCCGGTCTACACGGAGACCCAGCTGGATGTCGTTGAACAGCATGATCACATCTGGTAAACACTGAACGATCCTTGCTTGATGTGTCGTCCAACCACGCTACTCCTGGAATCAGCTTTTCATTGCACATTTTCAGATCGTCTAAAGCAGTGATAACCAAATTTGCTTTGACTGTTCCTTCATCTTGAGGAATGTTTGCTGTTCTAAGAGACGAACGAGCCGAAGGTACATACCCAACAAACATTGGAAGCAGAACAAGAACTTATTCAGGCAAAAAAATGCTTATTCAGCCTTTAATCAGCTCTTTTTGTCTGTTGGGTACAGCTAGCTGTTCGTTGTAGTAGGCAGCGAACTTCTTTCAAAAGCAGGTTTGGGAATCACCGTTCCAAGTAGTTGTCAGATTCCTCAACATTTCAGTCAAATCTTTTCAAATTGGTCACCATTCATAGACATTGTGATGATTTCATTTTCATTGTTAACACTTTCGTAAACACTAATCATGTTCATTTTTAAGGTTAAAGCATACGCAACTCTTTTTCGCGCTTAGGTAATCCACGCTACTTTAGGAATTTCAACGAAATTATGGGGAAATTTCCAACGGAAATTTAAGGAACTAAAAAAAAAAACCTCCAGAAACTTAGGGAATCTTCAGCTGAAGCTCAGAAAATCTATATAGGGGAAATGGCTCTAATGTTGGCCTATGGATCTAAGATTGGGCCCATCGCTAAAAATCTGTTATTTATCAATTTTATCTAGATGAACGCGTCATTGGGACGGTACAAATGGATATTTTTGGTCGCTATTGAAAATTTAGTCGATTGCTGAATTTAGGTATGGGCCTTAATTAGGGACATTTAGGCCGACATTACATCCATTTCCCCTATATACCGTTTAGAAGTAGTTTCCTGGTTGTTCCTTGTTGAAAATTTTCCGAAATTCTTAGTAAATTAATATTGAAAACAACCATTGTAACATTGATCTATGTAGCGAAAAAAAGAGCGTAATGGGTCTTAGCCCCCTTATTCTGCGCCGCGAGTGAGGTGAGGTGACTCGCTGTCACTAGTAAGGTGACAATAGTCACCACGAGTGACCCTCCATTTGATTTGCACGGAGAGTCACCTCACTCGCGGTGACTTTTGCCACCTCACTAGTGACAGCGAGTCACCTCACCTCACTCGCGGCGCAGAATAAGGGGAAGTATAACTAATTTGAAATTTAATGCCAATTTTCCGTTTTTAGCAACTGCTGGCAAAACCTCCTCAAGCAATTAGCGGCTCGTGAAAAGAAACTTCACGCCGCCGGTGAAATCCACCGATTCCATAGGGATGCCGCGGAAGCCCTATTCCGTATTCAGGTAGGTCAATCCCCTCCCTTTCTCAAACTTCAACAACCCTAACCCCACAACCTCAAATGTCTCCCATAGGACAAAAACGCCGCCCTCTCAACGGAGCTGGGCAAAGATCTCAACTCGGCCCTGGCGCTGAGCCGCAAGCAGGAAGCGTTCGAAAACGAACTGGTCGCACTGGAGGCCCAACTCCAATTTCTGGTGGACGATTCGCTGCGTCTGCAGGCCAAGTACCCGGGCGACAACGCCAAGGCCATCGCGGCCGAACAGGAGAACGTCATCCAAGCATGGAACGTACTGAAGGAAAAATCCGCTCTACGGAACGATCAACTGCAGGCCAGCTGTGATCTGCAGCACTTCCTAACCCAGGTGCGGGATTTGATGTCCTGGGCAACGAACCTGCGGGCGACCTTGCAAGCCGAGGAGCATGTCAGCGATGCAACCGGAGCGACGGCGCTCAAGATTCAACACGATGCCATCTACGGCGAAATCGAAGCCAGGGAAGATACGTTCCGCTACCTAAACGAGCTGAGCGATTCGATGGTTCAGACAGGCCACTACGCAGCTACCGAGGTGGAGGAGAAGTGCTCGGCACTGTTGGATGAACGCGCCAAGTTGCATTCGGCTTACAACAAGAAGAAGATCCTGCTGGAACAGAAGATCGATCTGTTCTGCTTCATGCGGGACGCAAAGGTGATTGACAACTTGAGCAGCGGCCAGGAAGCGGCGCTGTCCAGTTCGGACTTTGGACAGACGGTGGAAGTGGTACAGAATCAAGTCAAAAAGCACGATGCGTTCGAGAAATTGATTCAAACGCAAGACGAGAAAGTGGCGATTCTGCAAGACCACGGCAGGAAACTGGTGGAGCAAAATCACTACGACAGTGAGAACATCAGAAGGCGACTGAGGGAAATCGTGGATCGTCGACAGAAGATCAAGGAGCTGTGCGCACTGAGACGGCAGAAGTTGCAGAACGCACTGCTGTACGCTCAGTTTATCCGTGATTGCGCTGAAGCTGGAGCCTGGATCAACGAGAAACAGAAGAAACTAGAAGCGGACGCAACTGGCTTCGCCGATGTGTCGAACATGGAAGACAAGGTCAAGAAACTACAGAAGCATCAAGCATTCCAAGCCGAAGTGGCAGCCAACGAAGGACGCATCAAGGAGGTCAACCAGAAGGGTGAGATGTTGATCAAGAAGCGACACGAGTGCGCTGTGGAGATCGAAGAAGAGGTGAGGAAATTGAGTGAATCCTGGAACGTTCTGCTGAACGAGGTTGCTTCACGTGGTCGAGGCCTAGAGGAAGCTCAGGACATTCTCGAGTTCGACAGTCAGCTGGACAAGCTGGAGGCTTGGATTCGTGACAAGGAAATGATGGTTCACGCAAGTGACACCGGTCGCGATTTTGAGCATTGTAATGCCCTGAAGAGAAAGCTAGACGACGTCGATTCGGACATGAGAGTCGATGATCAGCGAATCAAGACGATCAACGTGCTGGCAGATAAGCTGCTCACGCAGGATAAGGCACCGAATGAAACCAAGAACGTGCAACAGCGACGAAATAACTTCAACAACAAATGGAAGTCGCTGCAGGGTGCGTTGAACAAATACCGAGAACTTCTGGGTGGAGCCTACGAGATACACCTGTTCAATCGAGATGTTGACGACACGGCTGAGCGAATCAGCGAGAAGCTGTTGGCAATGAGCGTTGACGATACCGGACGAGATTTGAATGCTGTGGAAGCATTGAAACGCAAGCAAGACACCATGAAGCGCGATATGACTGCCGTTCAGCAGAAGATTCAAGAACATGAGAAGAGGGCCGGACTGCTGGCTCAAAAATATCCGGACAATGCCGTGAACATTGAAGCTAATCTAGAAGAACTTAAGCGTCAGTGGAACAACCTGCAGGAAGCCAGTGTCAAGCGAGCTGAGGCTCTGGAGAACGGTTACACAGCGCACAAATTCACAGCTGATGTGAAGGAGCTGGAGTTGTGGACCAACGACATCATAAAGAAAATGGACTCGGTATCGAACCCGACCACGATTGCTGAATGCCAGGCGCAAATTCAGCTGCATCGGGAACGAAAAGCCGAAATCGATGGAAGAGATAATATCTTCAAGGCTCTTCAGGAACACGGCGAACGGCTGGTTGCTGAGAATAAAGCCGAGGGTATCAAGAATGATTACGTCGAAAAGGCGTTGCGTCAGCTGGAAGATTTGAACAAACAACTGCACGATTCCTGGAAGGGTAAGGATCGTTTCCTAAAGGAAGCATACCAGCTGCAACAGTTCAAGGAGCAAGCGGATCAAATCGAAGCCTGGTTGGCCAACAAGGAAGCATTCCTGAACAACGATGACTTGGGGGAATCGTTCACTGCTGTAGAAGCATTGATCAAGAAGCACGAAGCATTCGAAAATCTGCTCGCTGCCAGCCGAACGGAAGAACTGGAAAAGTTCGCCGAGGAGATTCTTGCCGAAAGCCCATTCGAAGCGGACGTCATCAAACAGAGACTATGCTCGGTGATTGCGCGGAAAGATAAGCTGCTTGCTTCGTCGGCGGCACGGAAGCAAAAACTACAAGAGTCGCTACAGTTGCAACAATTCCTGCGTGGATTGTACGAAGTAGCCAAATGGATCTCCCAGAAGATGCAAGTCGCACTGGATGAGAACTACCGGGAACCAAGCAACCTTCAGAGTAAGATCCAAAAGCATACTGCCTTCGATGCCGAATTGGGAGCCAACTCCAGCCGTGTAACGGCTATCATCGAAGATGGAGAGACCCTCATCAACGCCGAACACTACGCAAGTGCACTGGTACAGGAACAGCTCGATATCCTGGAAGCGGATTGGCAGAAGCTTCGAGAAGCCTCCCGCGAGAAGAGGGAATGCTTGGCAGAAGCCTACGAAGCTCGCCTGTTCGAGCGCAACCTAGACGACTTCAACAACTGGATGGACGAAGTGGAATCCCAGCTATCCTCGGAAGACTACGGCAAGGACCTGGCTTCCGTTAACAACCTGCTGAAGAAGCACGAAATGCTGGAAGCGGACGTTGCTCACCACTTGGAAACATGCGAACAAATCAGGGCCACCGATGACAAGTTCTTCGCTTCCGATCACTTCATGAAGGACGAACTCCACGAAAGCGCTATGCTAACTATCAAGCGATATCACTCCCTCCACGAGCCAACCACTATTAGGCGGGAAAACCTGGAAGACTCGCTGCAGTTGCACCAGTTCCTACGAGACGCCGAAGACGAACTGTCCTGGTTGAACGAGAAGGAACCTCTGGCGGCATCCAAGGACCTCGGAAACAGCCTAACCGCCGTACAAAGTCTACAGAAGAAACATCAAGCCCTGGAAGCGGAGATCCTTTCGCAGGAACCAATCATTTCCGCTTTGATCCAACGAGGTCAGCAAATGATTCGCGATAATCACTACGCCGTGGAGCAGATCGAAAGCCAATCGAACCTGCTGCAGCAGAAGTTGGTGAACTTGAGAAATTTGACCAACGTGCGGAGGCTACGGCTGCTGGATGCGGTCGAGAGTCAGCAGTTCTACGCCGAAGCCAACGAAGCGGAATCCTGGCTGAAAGAGAAGAAACCGATCATTTCCTCTCACGATTACGGCAAAGATGAGGATTCGGTGGGATCTCTGCAGAAGAAATTGGATGCACTGCAGCGTGAACTGGTAGCATTCAGGCCGACTGTGGAGAAGATCGATAAGCTGGCTGGAGGGTTGCAGGAGCGAGGTCATTTCGATAGCGAAAAGATCAAGACCAAGAACGATAAGATTCAGTATCAGTTCCATGAGCTGAACCGATTGGCTGGTGAGCGAGAGAAGAAGCTGGCCGAAACGAAGAAGCTGTACGAGTTCATCCGGGAGATTGACGATCTGCAGGAGTGGATCGAGATGCAGATGACTACGGCTGGATCGGAGGAATACGGAACGGATGTGGAACATGTCGAACAGCTGACGGCACAGTTTGAGTCGTTCGTTTCGAATATGAACTCGAATGAAGCACGAGTGTATGCTTGTGTGGCCAAGGGAGAATCGTTGTTGAACGAGGGTAACCCTAACAAGGACATTATCAAGGGTAAACGGGACGAAACGAAGCAACTGTGGGAAGAGTTAAAGGATTTGGTTGTGGCCCGGCAGGAAGCATTGGCAGGAGCTAAGCAGGTTCACTTGTTCGATAGAACGGCAGATGAAACGATCGGTTGGATCAATGAGAAGATCTCAGCCGTCCTGTCAGAAGACTACGGTCATGATTTGGAAACGATTCAGGCACTGGTGCGAACGCACGAAAGCTTTGAAGCGGAGTTGTGTGCCATCAAGGAACAACTGGAGTCGGTAGTTACCGAAGCCCAGAAGCTAGGCGACACTTTCCCCGATGCCAAAGAACACATCGAAGTCAAGCGAGACGAAACGATCGAAGTGTGGTCCGAGCTAAAAGAAAAGACAATACAGCGCAAGGAGAAGCTTATGCAAGCCGAACAGCTGCAGGCCTATTTCGACGAATATCGGGATCTTATGGCCTGGATCAATGAAATGCTAGCGCAGATTACTGCTCCGGAACTGGCCAAGGATGTCGCTGGAGCCGAAGCTTTGATCGGGAAGATCAAAGAACACAAAACCGAAGTGGATTCGAGAAGCGAAGCGTTTGGGACGTTCTACAAAATTGGAAACAAGCTGATCAAGGATGGTCACTTCCTGGCCAATGAAGTGCAAGAGAAGATCGCTGTTTTGGGACAAAGGAAGCGCCTGTTGGACAACACAATCGTCCAGCGAGCGGAGATCTACGAACTAAACCTGGATACGCAAATGTTCTTGAAGGAAGCCGAAGTGATCGAAAGTTGGATCATCTCCCGGCAGGTTCAGCTGAAGGACGGCAAACTGGGTGAGTCTATTGCACAAGTTGAGGATCTTCTTCGAAAGCATGAAGACTTTGAGAAGACCGTAGCTGCTCAGGAAGAGAAGGTCCTTGCTCTAAAGCGAATCACTCTGCTGGAACAGAAGTTCAAGAAACAGCTGGAAGCTGAACACGCTGCTCGCATAGCCGAAAAAGAACGAGTCGAACGTGAACGGCACGAAGCCCTCAAGCAGAAGGAAGTACAGCGAATTACGGAAGAACGTCGACGAAACGATGTCAATTCGTCGGTCGTCAACGGTTACACCGGCACACCTATCAAGTCGTCTACACCTAGTCATCTGTCCCCGTCGACCGCAGCCGGTCTGTCCAAGGAAGCTCCCGATGTGTCTCCGGTACAAAAGTCAAATTCCTTTGCCACGATGCTGCAGGAACGACTACGTCGCGGTTCCGAGGGCAACATCAAGCGGGCAGAAAGTATGAAGATCGGTCCGAAGCCTGCCAAACGAACACCGTCCTTTACGACCAGACGGAGAGCCCAGAGTTTCCGCAAGAATCAACGCGGAAACGAAACTACCGAATCCGATCTGCCACCGGTTGAGATGCAAGGTATGCTGGAGCGAAAGCATGAACTGCAGTCTGGTGGAAAGAAGGCACCCGTTCGCTCGTGGAAACCCTTCTACACGGTCCTGTGTGGACAGTTGCTTTGCTTCTTCAAGGACGTCGAGGACTTTGCTCAGAAGAAAGCAGCTACCGCTCCGGTCAATATCCTGAACGCCAAATGTGACCGAGCCGAAGACTACACCAAGAAGAAGAACGTTTTCCGGTTGGTGCTCCTGGATGGTTCGGAGTTCCTGTTCCTGACCGGTTCGAAAGATTCCATGAACGAATGGGTCAACAAGATCGCATTCCACGCTTCGCTTCCCCCGAATCTACAGCTGATGAGCTACGATGAATCGATGAAGGTAAGTTGGTGATGGATAGAGGTAGGTTTTGGTAGAAATTGCCTGATGCTTGTATTTTGTCGCTAGCACACCCTCGGTGCTGATGGGAAAACCGTCGGAGGCCTGCAAATCAATCCCCAGTCCCCGATCCTGGACCGTAGCGATGCCAATTCGTCAATCAGCTCGCGAACCTCGTCGCCCGATTCGCAGCGACGGGATTCCCGGGGCTCGTTGAACAGTGCCAAATCCGGTGGTTCCGGTAGCAATGCCAGTAGTACCCTTCAAACCCCGCAGATCAATTTCCTGCAGAAGCAGAAGGAACTGCGCGAGCTAGAGAATCAGGTTTGCTAGATTTGTCTGTGGATTTTTCTGTAGGTTAGGTTTTTACTAATGCATTGGCTGTTTTTACAGCAACGATTGTCGCAGCAGCAGCAGCAGCAACAGCAACAACCACAGCAGCAGCAGCATCAGCACATGAGTACCTTCCAGGCACCGCAGAGCCCAACGCAGGAGTTCTTCGGGCTAGCTGATAAGCCTCCGATACCACCGCGAGGAGTTCCTCCGCCGGTACCGCAGCGGCAGTCCAGCAACGAGAACATGCTGAACAACAATAACAACAACAGCAATAGCACAGTACAAATTCGACCCAAAACGAGCAGTGGGAGCAGTGGTAGTTTCAATGGAAATGGTTAGTACTGCTGTTATTCCCAATGCCTTACGATGAACTGAACGGTTTCGTGTCTCGTTTCAGATTACGACAATGGCAACTACACCAACGCCACCCGGCCCTTTTCCCATCAACCAAATTCAGCCAACCAACGAGGCGTGCCTGTGAATGGCAACCAAAACAACAACGGAAACGGAAACGGCGAAGACGTCTGGCTACGCAACAGTGAATCGAGGTCATCAGGTGAGTCCATTCTTTCCCCCATCGAGCGTGTGATCTGCTAAATGCCCGCGCAAAGCTTCTTCCCTTTGCTCAATGTATCTCATTTATGTGTGGCTCAATTCGTCCATTGTCTTTGTTTTGTCCCTTCCCGATTTTGTGTGTGATGTGTGTCTTCCTGCACCGCAATCCGAGCAGAAATTCCTGTACCACCGTTGCCGGCAACGTCACCACCGTTGAGCACGTTTTCCCCGCTGAAACCGCCATCCGGCTATCAGCATCACCACCATCACCAACAGCTGCATCAGAAGCAGCTGCACATGCAGGATCAATTCATCAAACGGGAACGGGAACAGACCGGCAACAACAACTACGTTGGCAGTAACAGCTATCTGAAAATGAGCAGCCCTACGGGACGGGAGAGCAACAACAACAACAACAACGTGTCACGGACCACGTGGCATCATCATCTGCCAACGACGACAGTTCCGGGATCGAATGGCGGCATGGAGTACCATCCACCGATCAACAATGGCAGCAATACGTTCGGGAACAATATCAACCTAGATGGATACGCTTCCGGTTAGAGCTTGAGCTTGTGATTCCTAAATTCGCTCTGGTCATGGTCATATATCTTACTAAAGCGGGATTTGAACGGGAGCCGTTTCGGGATTCTCTTATTGACCCAGAAGGCAACGGTCTTTGCTTAACTACATATTGACGGTGTCGGAGTTTCAGTTTTGTTTGCGTGTGCCTTTACCATTGGTTTTCCTAACCCCATCTCAGTACATCTTCACTAACCGAATGTAAGCGTTATAGTTACTTAGAGATCAATCGTATGACACAATTCGACGACAATTAATGTGTAATGTTTTGCTGAGAACAAACGGAATAACCAGTTAGTCAAAAGTACGAATCATTCTAACCTCACTATTTTTATTTTTTATGAACGGTGGTTTGGTTTTGTTCAAGCAGAGTTCGATGTTAGTATCAATGTCTGATAGATCTTCTATATACAGGGCTAGTAATAACTTGCCCTGCTTTATGTATATCACTATTGATGTTTGACTGATTCGAATAGTTAGGTAAGGCGGGGCAAGATGGATCAGTTAGTGCATTTATTAATATATTTGTTTATCAAAATTAACAAGTTCAATGCTTTTTCAAACCAGCATTTGGGCTACATTGAGTCTGTTGATGTTGACAATCGAAAAAATAAATAAATCAAGTAGAGGGCCCATCTTTCTCCACCTTACCCTAAATAGAGTTTCGATCCCTGCAGTCTTATTTCAGGTCACTGATTAGAACCGAAGACCGAAACATCTTCTTGTTAGCAGAGCGTGAAAAAGAAACAACTGATCGCTAAGGATTGTAACAGTGGAATTAATAAATTTTTATTAATCGTTATTTACAGGCTACTTTGATAGGTTTAGGATTCAGCTGGTTGCTGTGATTGTTCGTTATATCAACACTGCACAGGTAGCACACCAGCCGATGTTCGATGTTTTGATATCTTGAGTTTGTTCAGTGGTTTGGTAATCATGTGCTCCGTTGGACAGTAGATCACGGACAGCATGCCTTGTTGAATAAGATCCTTGGTTAACTGGAACTTTGTGTCAACGTGTATGGACCGGCGTTCCAGTTTCTCCGACTCCAACTGTCAGATGGCACTCTGGTTGTCCTCGAGTAGCAGGATTTGAGTTTCCGGCTCGTGGAAATCCTTCATCAGCTCCAGAGCTCCAAATCCAGAGAAGTTCTTGACATGCCTCTGCAGCAGCAATAAACTCAGTCTCCGTTGAAGAAAAGGGCAACGCAGGTTTGCTTCCTTGCCGCCCAACTGATCGCACCTCCACCAAACATAATCAGAAAACCGCTATTGGATCTACGGTCCCGATGATCACCTGCCCAATCTGCATCTGCGTAAGCCTTCAGGTCAATATTCTTGCCGCCCAAATGCAATCGAAAATGCTTTGTCGCTAGGAGATACCGCATAGTGCGCTTTCTTCTTCTTCTTATTCGCATTTCAAGCTTATTGCTTAGTGCATATTAGCTTATTGCGTGCTCTCAACTTAGTGTTCTAAATGCACTTCCACAGTTATTAATTGAGAGCTTTCGATGCCAATACCAATGCATGAATTTGTATATTGTGTGGCAAGCACAATGATACTCTATGCCCAGAAATGGAAAATTTCCAACCAGAAAGATTCCCTCGACCAGACCGGGAATCGAACCCGCCGCCTCCAGCTTGGTAATACCGTGCCTTTACTGACTAGGCTATGAGGCCCCATAGTGAGGCATAGTGCGCTTTGCTTCAGTCCAATCTGCTGCATTCGGGGCACTCACCTTTCGCCCAAGTAACGAAACGCTGATCGCTACATCTGGCCTCGTATTGATCGCTATGTAGAGCAAGCCACCAACCAAACTGGAGTACGAAGTATTGTTTGGTAGCTTGCTGGATTCCTCCTCCTTTGCTCTAAGATAGCCGGGGTCCATCGGGATAAGTGATGGCTTTGCCGTTTCGAGTCCGAATCGCGACGCCAGCCGATGGATGTGAGCAGAAAACTTCCATCATTTTCCCGCTCCACCTGTATGCACAGGTACTGCCGCACATCGCCAAGGGAAGTAGCTTTGAACTCCTTCGATAATGCTTTCAGGATCGCTTCATATTAAGCCTCGGTCTCACACACGATGAGCATATCGTCGACGTACAGAAGGATAAACGCTTGCTTCTCACCCTTGGTCCTTACGTATCAGCAGTTGATTGTAGAAATCCCAGCTTCTTGAAGCAACCGTCAATCGTCTGGTTCCAAATTCGACCGGATTGCTTCAGACCGTAGAGGCTTTTCTTCAAATGGCAAACTTCTGTGGGATTCCCAGTCTCGTATCCTTTCGGTAAGCGTCCCATACAGGTAGGCCGTCTTGACATCGACGTGTTTCACTAGAAGTTGACGACGGGTGGCAATGGTTAGCAAAGAGAACGAAATGTTACCTGTTTTGCCACCGGAGCGAACAGCTGGTCGTAGTCAGTGCCGAACTTCTGACTAAAACCTTGCGCGACCAGTCTTGCCTTGTAGCGTGTCACGTTTCCATGCTCGTCCAATTTCCCGCCTTTCGTCCATCTGGAAAGGCCTCAACTGTCCATGTCGAGTTATCTTGAAGGGACTGGATCTCTTCTTCCATCGCAGCTATCCACGATTCGCTCTCTTGTCCGCTTACTGCTTCTTCAAACGTCCTCGGTTCAGTAGCTGCTGCCATGTTGCTTGCTTCATGGTACCTTTGTTGGACCGCTCTGATCTTCGTACGATGGTTTCATCCAAATCTTCATGAAGGGACTCGTCGCAAGAACCGAAGTCCGTGTCGGTTACGTCCGACCTTCCATCGTCATTTTGTTCGTCAATCTCTGGATCTTCTTGATTTACTCCAGCCATAGGAGGTAACGGCTGTAGAATTTCCCCGTACGACTCCTCCTCCAGATTAGGAACATCGGTACCGGGTTGGACCAACTCCTCCTCAAAGAAACGAACGCCTCGACTGATGATCAGCTTGTTAGTGGCCATATCAATGAATCTTTAGGCCTTGTGGTTACTGGAATAGCCGACGAACGTCATTTCTTTCGATTTATCCTGGATTTAACCGGCACATAGACAAATGCTCTGCACCCAAACACTTTCAGGTGTGAAACGTTCGGTTTACGTCCCCACCAAAGATCGTATGGTGTGATCTCCACAGCGCGAGAAGGTAGGCGGTTCTGTAGGTATACGGCCGTAGCGGTTGCTTCTGCCCAAAATCGTGCAGACATCCTGGCGTCCATTAGCATGCACCGACACATTTCAATGATGTATCGATTTCGTCTCTCCGCCACTCCGTGCTGCTGTGGCGAATATCCGGCAGTAAACTCGGGGTGGATTCCATGCTTGCGGTAGAACTCCAGCAGTACTTCGCTCGAATACTCCCCTCCTCGATCAGACCTGATGCGCTTGGGGTACTTCCCGAACTGCGTGTGGACATAATTACAGTATTCCACTATGCGTTCTGCGACCTCGGAATAAAGAAAACCGTACAGTAGCGACTATAATCGTCTACTAAAGATACAAAATAACGATATCCACTCACCGAGGGTGTCTCCAGTGGTCCATACACGTCCGAGTGGATGAGGTCTAATGGTGCGGAGGTCTTGGGGAAGGGAGTTCGAGCCTGCTTTCCTTTCACACAGCATTTGCAACCTTCACGTATTCCGCAATCTGCAACTTTCATACCGGTAACAAGCTTCTTTTTCAGCAGAACATCCAACGCATCAGCTTCCCGGTGTGCAAACCGTCACTGCCAGGTGTGCTGGCAATCTCGCTTGTGAGATGCAGTTACCCTCGCGGCGACTGCTTGTTCTTGTTTATTCAGCCGGTATAATCCGGATCGTTGCAGATGCAATTTCCTTCCCATCGACGATGATTTCAACCTTCGCCTTTCGAATGGCCATAGTAAGCACTGACAAAAGACTTGCTGACAGCTGGCACAAACAAAACGTGGTTCCAGTACCAGCGACCGCTACTACACGCCCGTCAGCCAACTCCACTTCGCCTGTAGCCGGTTCTAACTCCTCGAAGAAATCCCTGTTGGAAGTCATGTGCGAACTTGCGCCGGAATCGCTGATCCAGTCGTTCGCCGTGTCGCCAGTTCCGATGGTCAGCGCGTACATGTTGCTGTACCCACCATCGCGCGCGGTCTTCGCATTCTGTTTCTTCGATCCGAATTGCTCTCAAGCTTGCTCTCTCTGTAGCTGCTTGCAGTCCCGTTGTTTGTGGCAAGGCTTCTTGCCGAAATGACACACAATCGGTTTTTCGTCTCGGCGCTTTACCTCGTCCAGTAGCTTCTCCCGGATCAGGTTCAGCGTGAAGGCATCATCCGTACGTGTTTCGAGGGCAGTCTTCAATGCGTTGAATGATTTCGGCAATCCTCGCAAGATAAAGGCCACCATGGTATCCTCTCCCAGGTCCTTTCCTGCGCTGCACAGCTTCGTGTACAGGTCTTCTATCTTCGTGAGGTAATCGTCTATATCCTCACCTTCCATGTACCGGGTTTCGCACATCCGTTGTAGTAACGAAACCCTAGTGGACAACGTTGCCTTTTGATGATGCATGGCCAACGCCGCCCACGCTTCCTTAGCCGTCTTCGCCGCTCGAATCACGCCAAACTGATTTTCCTGCAGCAGTAACGGAATCGTTGCACGGGCCTTTGCATCGTCTTCCACCCACGCCGCCGAGGCACCCGCCGCCGCTTGACCTTCTCCAGCTTCCGGTGGGTTGTTCTTGATGTAGGTCCACAAACCTTCCCGGATCAGCAGCGCTTCGGTCCGAAGCTCCCATGCTTCATAATTTGCGTTGTTCAGCTTCGGTCTTGAACTTCTAGGAACTTCTCCAGGAATAAACTTACACGTTGCTAAGGGCCCATTACCTGTTAGCAGAGCGTGAAAAAGAAACAACTGATTGCTAAGGATTGTAACAGTGGAATGATTAAATTTTTATTAATCGTTCTTTACAGGCTAATTTGATAGGTTTAGGTTTGAGCTGGTTGCTGTGATTGTTCGTTATCTCAACACTTCTGTCAAAAAATTTCACGCATAAATGAAAACTTCGCCAAATCCCAAAACGTTGATTTTTTAAACTCCAAGGGTCTTGAACCAAGGGGTAGGTCACTCCACACACCAATCTTGGGTCATTTTTTTGTCAGTATGCCGCAAGTGTGCCGAAGGTATGTCGATTGTGCCGGTCATAGAACAAGCTGCGATTTTTGTAAAATACCCATCCGGCAACCGGGTTTTTCTGGCACCTTGAATGTTTTGGTTTGAAATCGCAAGAATAAATCGGATTGAGGATGACGCAGAAAGTGGTAGGTGTGCGAAATTTTGGTATTTTGTGTCATAGGATAATAAAAGTCCTTAGGGGTTTAATAATGCCCTCAAAGGCAGACTAGAAGCCTAGCCTTTCGTGATGTGGAAAGCAACGGTCTATCAGCGGCCGGAAAGAGTTGGAACCGGTTGGAAACATTGTAGGAGACCGACTATAGAGGATAATGAATAGACTTCTGTAGTTTGTTTTGTGTGAGTTGCAGCATTATTTGAATTAAGGGTACTAATGGGGTCTGATTAACTGCCTCTTTCTCTTAAGCCCACTCTAGAACCTACATTTCGTATTTAGATCTATAAGTGAACTACTGGTCTGAGTTCCTCTGGTATATTCAATTAGAGGATGTTCCTAAATTTACAGTCAAACAGCACGTAATGTTGTGAATAACTTCAATGACAGTTGTCCAGCAGTGCTCCCATTTTATTTACAACAATTCAATGCCTACTAAATTGTGCCGAAGGTATGCTAAAGGTGTGCCGATGGATGTGCCCAAGCTGTGCCGAATCTAATTTCGGCACAAAGTGCTGAGTGACTTACCCCTTGGTCTTGAACATTTGAATGGATCCAGGAGTTTCGAAAAATTGGTTTAATCTAAAAAAAACAATGACCAAGTCTTGCAATTTTTTAACATAAGGTCAAGTCTCTGAACCTTCAAAAAATTACGAAGTCCTGGATTTTTTGAAATTTTGCTCAGTCCCAGAATCTTTAAAATTTATCCAAGTTCCAAAAGATGACAAATTTGGTCAAGAGCACCTGAGAGCAGTTCCACTCCAAATGACGAATCGATCAGACGGGACCTTCTCCGATTTGCATGAAACTTTGAATAATTGTCTGTTATGGTCAATTATTCATATGTGAGCAAAAATTCGGCCATTTGGAATCTCGCAAAAAATACAAAATGGCGTTTTCGGAATTTTTCAACAAATCATAACTCAAAAACGTCTTTTCCAATTGAAATGACGTGTGAAACTAAGTGGTAGGAAAAATAATGTCTTTTTACGAAAAATATACATGGAAAAAAAATTTAAGTAACTTATCGAAAAAAAAAATGTTAAAATTTAAATAACAATTTAGTACTATTCTGACTGTTTCATCTTAGTATTCTTCTTTGATAAGGCTAGCTTGTTCAAAGACGATAAGGTTGTTTATCTCACTAGAATTGAAGTGAACTAAACAAAATCATCGGAAATCTCGTTGCGCGAATGACCAGGACGGGATTTCCGTTTTCATTTTGATTACATGGACAGGCTCAACTCCAAGTAATTTAGTTAATTTATTGATCTTTGATCTGATCCAGACCTTTCATGGCAACCTTCAACAGACGTTCAGTTTTGGTGTCATACAGTTTTGGTGAATATTGAAAACTTAAATTGAACGAAGTTCAAAAGTTTCTTGCGAAGAGCATGGAAATCGGAAGTGGGAAACCTTTTTCCTTTTTGACATTAAGTAGGGAATGTTTAAGTGGGTGTAAAATCGAATAAAAAATCGATTTTTCAAAAATGCTCGAATTCGATTTGTATTAGTAAACACGTGTTAGTATTGGTATGAGTTAACACGTATGATTTTGTTACCGACTTACTTAAATGTATCCCCTTAATGGAAATTTGCCTGGATGAGGGATCATTCTCATCATCCGTGAGCATATCAAATTGATTGCTCAATAGATTTTCATCCGAAGGGGGATCAAGCGATTGCCCTTTTCTTTTGCGCCATGACGGCAAAACCAAATTTCTCCAAATCGGCTTCAAAGCAGATTACTATAAGAATCCGAAGGATCGTAGAGGAATTTTCCAAATCGATATCCAAGCAGGATTACCTCGGGTAGGATCCAAGCAAAGATCGAAGAGGAATAAGAGTCAAACAAAGTAGAAATTTGACAGGTTGAGCACTGGAAACTACTGTTTAAATTTGTTGTAGCTTTAGGTAGCAGTAACACTTCCTTCAGCAAAAAGCACGATGCGGACTGTTGCCGAACTAAGTAGTAGCGATTATTTCCCATTGATCATAATCCAAATTTTAAGTTAAAACAACGATATCTTCTACACTTCTTCCACCTATATATATATATATATCTCATATCTTATCGCATTGTGCTTGGCCAGTTTAGAACCTCATTAGCCTACCACTAATATCCCATCATATAAGCTATCAGCACCGAGTGGGGCAAATCTTCGCCGTACCGAATCACAACCGATAATTAGAACCTCCAAAAAATTCCACACCAATTTCAGGCTGGGGTCAAGCCCGTCACGAAGCCCACCGTCCGGCATCGCTTCCCGTCGGAGGAGGAGGAGGAGGAGTAGTAGTAGTGCCAGGTAGTAGTAGCACTAGTGCCACTGGTGCCGGAGACATTTCCGCTGGCCTTATGCTCGGACGGCAGCAGCAGCAGTCGGCGGAAAGTTCCAGCGAGAGCGAGGCCAGCTTTATCAAGGGCGGCGGCAGCAAGGAATCCGGCAAGGACAAGAAAGCCGGCAGCGGAGTGTTTAGAATATTCTCCAAGAAAAAGTCCAAGAACCACAATTAGGAACACACGACCCCCTATTTTAATTTTACCAATTCGGCTGGTTCAATAATGCCGGGAAGAGTTGTAACATAGAGACCCTTTACTGTAATTACCTTTGTAAGTTTATTTTTTTATTATTAACAAAAAATGCGGAAATCAGCGGTTTGTTTACTTTCTTTTTGTTTTTTTTTTAATCGCAAAATGTTATTTTATCACACACCCCCAGGCAACTTTGTAGAATATCCATTAATGGAAAGCTAGCGGAACATTGGTAGCTTTTTTAAAATAAACACATGAAAATTCCCACACAATCAATGGAGAAAAGGCGAATAGATAGAAAGCTTATTTATGTTTATGAACGTCATCATACCGCTGGCAAATGTTAAGCTAGTAAATAATATAAACAATAATCATTAATAGCTGAGTTATTGAAAACATATCGGTAAACCTTTATCTAGAGAAACTTCGGTTTATACAAGTCATTATACGGACGAGTGCGAATGTGAAAATGAGAAAAAACAGTAGGTAGCAGAACAAGATGTAAGTTATAGTATATTACGGCAACGTCTACAACAATAGTTATTAAATTTGTTAAAACTTGAATGAATTCTAGTTAAGTCAGTAATGGTTTAGTAAAAAATATTGGAATAATCAAACTGGGTTGTTTAAAATTTACTCAAATATCACAACTCCTCAGTGCTAACTAAGGTTGGTCAGTAGTACACGGCGAATGAGAGTAATTCAGTAATTGAGTCGAAATCGATTCAAAATTGCAAAATTTTCCTCGCTTTTGCAGGAAAAACTGCTTAAATATGAGAAAAATCAACGAAAATTTTACGCTGATAGACTGAGTGACATACAGTTAATTATCCACAACCCGTTTCTTCTATAACTCGATGGATTCAGCGGTAACTTCATTTTTCCATGTATCGTACAGTCGATATTTCCACAAGTCGGTGCCTCCTTTTGGTCGATGTGTTATTTTGATTCTATAACTCTATATGTTAAAGGCAAAGCTTCTGAATGTTCGAGGTTTCAGACGTGAGGAATAGACTATTGGAGAGAAATAACTTGAGTCATCTAGTCGAGTTGATGGTTGAAGTACTAATGAAGAAAATCTTTATTTCAGGTCAATATAATATTGTGGTTGCTAAGGAAAATACATAGCAACGCAGGGCTGGTAGCGAGGTACTTTTTAGTGACTTGGTCACTTTTTTTAATACCCCGTTCACATTACAGCGTATATCACGTGATATACGCTGTCTTGCAATGAGCACTCATACATCTAGTTTTCACTGGAAATCCTATGTATGAGTGCTCATTGCAAGACAGCCTATATTACGTGATATAGGCTGTAATGTGAACGGGGTATAAGCGAGTCACTAAAAAGTCTCCTTTTTTAAGGCCAAGTCACTAAAGTCACCTTTTCTTGTAATCAGTCACTATTTTCAACTTTTTTAGGGTAAATTAATTTCATTCCGCATCGAACGTTCGACTGTTTCGGTCTAGTGTTGCTTGCACTCCGTTATCAGTACTAGTTTTTTCCCTATTGAGGTTTTTTTTTCAATCCGCTTTCACACTGAGTGGTGTTATAGTATACACAAGTGTAGTGAGCATCGCGGAATTGCATTTGCCGCACAACCGTTCGAGAAAGGAAGCAGTCCTTTCCGGCCGAGTCCGGCAGATGAGCTGTTCATCTTTAGCCAACAAATTTCATCGCATCACGCCACTGCAACATCAAGGTCATCGAGTTCACCAGCCGGCGAGCCAGCCGGTGCTTTGTTGACAACACTCGAGGGCAACAATAGAACGATCATCACCATCATCCTCACATCAGTAGATCATCGTCATCAGCCACACTCCGTGCGCTTGTGTGAAGAGTTAAGTAACAAACGATTATCTTCCGTTCTGCGCAACCTGATTAATCTCCATACAGCGTTGATTAACTTTTCTGACACCTTTTTGTTTTTTTCCTGAAAAAGTTTTTTTTTTTCTTTTTCACTTTGGTTTTTTTTTTGCAATCTGATTAATCTCCTTATAGTGTTGATTAACTTTTCTGACACCTTTTTGTTTTTCCTGAAAAAGTTTTCATTTTTTTTTCTTTTTTTTTCACTTACTGTTTTTTTGCAGTCTGATTAATCTCCCTATAGTGTTGATTAACTTTCCTGGCACATTTTTTTTGCTTTGTTGGATTAAGTATTATTTTTACCGTTATATTTCTGGATAAGTTTTTTTTTCTTATATATATTTTTTTTTGTTTTCCTTACGCATATTTTTTTTCTTCATGTTTATCTTGAAATCTGTTGCGGAGGTACTTAAGACCCCGCAATGGATGAAACAAATGATGGCGGGGGTATTTCGCTAGCAGATATCTCCGATGATGAGTCTGTTGAATCTCCATCATTCGAAAATCTGCTTCTCACTGAAGAGAAAATGGATACATCAGGGGACTCTACTTCGGACCCCAAAACGAGCACTGGAACTTACCCAAAGGTGATGTCTAAACAACAGCCTCCTGCACCCCCTGCCCCCCCTTCTCCACCATCGCCCCCTCGTCCACCTGTTCCCCCTACTCCAACCGTTCCCTTAAAAATTTCTGCGACCCCCGCCATAAAGCTTACCCAAGCGGCTCAAAAGGTCCGTGGGTTGTTTTTTTCCGGCCCAAACAAAAACCTTTGAATATTTCTCGGATTTCGAAGGATATGACAAAACATTTTTCGGCCGTAACCGATATATTTAAGGTGACGCCAAACAAACTGCGCGTTACCGTTGATGACCTGAAACAGGCAAACCGGATTGTTGCCTATGAGCTTTTTACGATGGAATATCGAGTCTACATCCCCAGTTGCGACGTAGAAATCGAAGGAGTGGTCACCGAAGCGAGTCTAACTTGCGAAGATTCGCTCCAAGAGGTCACTTGCAGAACTCTTAAAAAACACCGCTTCATCTTCCCAAACTACCCCAAAAACCAAAAACACATACTCCATTTTGCCAGATGATGATGAGGGCTCTGACTCAGAGGTTGGTGAAGGTAGTCCCTTTGTCTTTAAAGGCAACACGAGAAAGCGATTAAAAAAAAAACGTCACTCAAAATCCGCGTAAGACCTCTCGTATGGACTCCCAACCTACCTTGACAAATTTAAGAGGTAGCGGAAATGTACCGAAACCCCCACCACCGGGATTTAAATCTTGTAATTTTAACAAGGACTTTCCGCCACTTCCGGGATCATCTAAAACCCCAGATATCCCAGTTTTTCAGCCAGAAAAACAGCTGAATAATCAGCAAGAACATGATGCCATGTTCACGTTTCTGGAATTGTGGAGAGCATCTTCTATATATTCAACGTCTCTGACTCAACTCGGAACATTATTAATTTAGTGCTTCCATTCGTGAAAACTCTTTTGAAGCAACTAGCTTCTAGGTGGTCCTTCCTTGCATCGATCATATCCTTTGATGGATAATTTTCCGAATGAGGTCGGGGATATGATCTCTGTTCTTCAGTGGAACTGTAGAAGTCTTATACCGAAACTTGACACATTCAAATTTTTAGTTCACAACTCACATTGTGATGCATTTGCTCTTTGTGAAACATGGCTTTCTTCAGACACCGATCTCCCTTTCCACGATTTTAACATTATTCGCCTTGATCGAGCAGATTCGTATGGAGGGGTGCTTCTCGGGATTAATAAGCTCCATTCCTTTCATAGAATCGATCTGCCTTCCGTGACAGGCATTGAAGTTGTCGCATGTCAGGTAAATATTCGAGGTAAAAGCCTCAGTATATCTTCCTCCAAGAACTGCGATTTCTCGCCAAGGTCTCTCAGATATCTGCTCAGCTTTATCTGAGCCTCGGTTGATCTTAGGAGATTTTAACTCCCACGGTACAGGCTGGGGGGAACTGTACGATGACAACCGCTCAACCCTGATATACGACCTTTGCGATAACTTCAATATGACAATTCTAAACACTGGGGAAGTAACACGAGTGGCCAAACCTCCAGCAAGAGAAAGTAGATTAGACCTCTCCCTCAGTTCGAGTTCACTATCGTTGGATTGCTCGTGGAAAGTAATTCAAGATCCCTACGGTAGTGACCACTTGCCAATCAAAATCTCTATTACCAATAGTTCATCTTCCACTCGCTCGGTTGACATCGCGTACGACCTCACGAAAAACATCGACTGGCAAAAATTTGCGTCCGCGGTTCTCGGTGGTACTGATTCGGTTGAGATACTCCCTCCGCTGGATGAGTACTCCTTTTTATCGAGACTTATCGTTGACTGCGCTCTTCAAGCACAGACGAAACGCGTTCCGGGTGTTTTCATTCGCAAACGACCTCTCACTCCGTGGTGGGAGAAGGATTGCACCGACGCGAACAGCGAGAAGTCCGCCGCGTTTAAACGCTTCCGCAAACACGGTAAGGTCGAGGATTTCGAGCGGTACACCGACCTCGAGAAAACTTTTAAGGGCTTGATTAAAGCCAAAAAACGCGGTTACTGGCGTCGGTTCGTCGATGGTTTGTCGAGAGAGACTTCCATGAGAACACTCTGGAATGTCGGCAGGAGAATGCGCAACGCGTCATCACCGGTCAACGAAGACAAGGAGTACTCAGACAGTTGGATATTCAGCTTCGCGCAGAAAGTTTGCCCGGATTCGGTGTCGGTTCAAACCAACGTTCGTGATAGTCCGTCGGGTAGTAACGAAATAGATTCTCCGTTTTCGATGGTGGAATTCTCACTTGCTCTCCTCTCATGTAACAACTCAGCTCCAGGAATGGATAGAATCAAGTTCAACTTGCTCAAAAATCTCCCAGACGTCGCGAAGAGACGCTTGTTGAACTTATTCAATCAATTTCTGGAGCACAACCTTGTTCCGGATGATTGGAGGCAAGTAAGAGTTATCGCCATTCGAAAACCCGGTAAACCCGCGTCGGATTATAACTCGTACCGTCCCATCGCGATGCTGTCCTGTATACGGAAATTGTTGGAGAAAATGATTCTTTTTCGTCTAGACAAATGGGTCGAGTCGAATGGTTTACTTTCAGATACGCAATTTGGATTTCGGAGAGGCAAAGGAACGAGCGACTGTCTTGCGTTGCTTTCAACTGAAATTCAACTGGCCTATGCGCAAAAACAGCAAATGGGTTCAGTTTTCTTGGATATTAAGGGGGCTTTTGATTCTGTTTGTATCGATGTCCTTTCGGATAAACTCCACGATAGTGGGCTTTCACCAATTATGAACAACTATTTGAGCAACTTGTTGTCTGAGAAATATATGAGCTTTTCTCATGGAAACTTCACGAATTAGTTACATGGGTCTCCCCCAGGGCTCATGTTTAAGCCCCCTTCTTTATAATTTTTACGTTAAAGACATTGATGGTTGTCTTGATGAAAATTGCTCGCTAAGGCAGCTTGCAGATGACGGCGTTATGTCCGTTATAGGGCCAAGTGCACCGGACCTGCAAGGACCATTGCAAGATACCTTAGACAATTTGTCTACTTGGGCTATGAAGCTGGGTATCGAATTCTCTCCGGAGAAAACTGAGTTGGTTGTTTTTTCTAGGAAGCATCATCCTGCACAGTTACAGCTTCAACTAAAGGGTAGAACAATCACTCAAAGTATATCTTTCAAGTATTTAGGTGTCTGGTTCGATTCCAAATGCACATGGGGAAAACATATTGCGTATCTAAAACAAAAATGCCAACAAAGAATCAATTTTCTTCGTACAATTACCGGAACTTGGTGGGGAGCACACCCGGAAGATCTTATCAGGTTGTATCGAACAACCATCTTGTCGGTTCTAGAGTACGGTAGCTTCTGCTTTCAATCCGCGGCGAAAACACATATCTTGAAGCTGCAACGAGTTCAATACCGTTGCCTCCGAATCGCGCTTGGCTGTATGCACTCGACGCATACGATGAGCCTAGAAGTACTCGCGGGTGTTCTCCCACTGACATATCGTTTCGCTGAGCTGTCTTTCCGGTTCCTCATCCGTTGTGAAGTATTGAATCCTTTGGTAATAGAACACTTTGAGAAGCTGCTCGACCAAAATCCTCAAACAAGATTCATGAGTTTGTACTATGAGTACATGACGCTGGAGGTTGGTCCTTCTTCATTAATCTCCAATCGTGATTGCTTTCAAGCCTTCTATAGTTCCTCTGTAAATTTTGATCTGACCATGATGCAAGAAATCCATGGAATACCACATCACCATCGGTCGATGGTTGTTCCCTCAATTTTTGCAATCAAGTACCACCATTTAAGTAACGATAAAAGATTTTTCACAGATGGGTCAACCATAAATGCTTCCACTGGATTTGGTGTATTTAATCAATTTCATAGCGCCTCCTATAAACTGCAGAAACCATGCTCCGTATACGTTGCGGAACTCGCAGCTATATTTTACGCAGTAGAGCGAATTGCCTCACTACCTTCTGACCATTATTTCATTTTTACGGATAGTCTTAGCTCATTGGAGGCTATTCGTTCAATGAGGCCGATGAAGCACTCCTCGTATTTCCTGCAAGAAATACGATCTAAACTGAGTGCTTTATCTAACTGCTCCTATACTATCACCTTAGCTTGGGTCCCATCTCATTGCTCAATTCCGGGTAATGAGAAAGCGGACTCATTGGCTAAGGTGGGCGCTATGGAAGGCGATATTTTTGAGCGACAAATCGCCTTCAACGAATTTTTCTCCATTGCTCGCCAGCAAGTCCTCATCAGTTGGCAACAAAAATGGAATGATGGTGAATTGGGAAGATGGTTACATTCTATTCTCCCACAGGTGTCGAACAAACCATGGTTCAAAGGGTTGGACATGAGCCGCGACTTTATACGCGTTATATCAAGGCTTATGTCCAATCACTGCTCGTTAGACTCGCACTTCTATCGAATTGGGCTCTCAGGCAGCAATTTATGTGCGTGTGGCAGTGGTTATCACGATATCGAGCATGTTGTTTGGTCGTGTACCTTACACCGTGTTGCCAGATCTGAGTTATCCACATCCCTCAGGGCCCGAGGAAAACAACCCGCGATACCCGTTAGAGATGTGTTCGGATCAAAGAAAAACAAAACCGTTTTTTTTGTAAATCAACCGTAAATAAAGTTGATCAAACTGCAAGAATTCGTTTAATATAGTGTTAGTGTTTATAGTTTGTGGTTTTAGTTGAAGTACTCACAATTTTAGTTATTGTTCCTCCTGCAAACAACCTTTCTTCTACCTAGACCGCTCTGAAATGTTCTTTCCGCCTATTACAAAATTCAGTGTTTTAATTTAATTCATTTGTTACAGTGTTTATCTCGTTTTACCTATCTGTGAGTCGTCTGCTTGCCGTTCCGTGTTTTGTAACCTCCACTGACCTAAATTTGTCCACAAACTTTCTATAAAATGCCCAAAGCACAGAATACTAAAAAAAACTCACTTTTAAGCACTTTCTAATCGATACTGTATTGTTTGTGATTTTCTACCTTCCGTTCTTTGACAGATTATCTTCTATTCATCTATCTATCCTCCTCTCTTCAATCCGTCACTTCATCTGTCATACTACTTACTACCTCATCGTCCAAATTCACTGCAGCGATGGAGGAGGGCAACGGCCAGTGTTGCCAGAACATTCCCCGGCCCGTAACTCTGTCCGGGAAGCCACATCCGGCTCAGGGTTACCCTCTGCTATCTCCATCACGGCCAGTTTCGCTGTCGCTCGTTTGTACCTTCCGGCATTGGTACGCACCCATGCTTGACGGACCCTGCCGTCGCCGGATACGATGATCTCTTCCACCATTCCGCGGATCCAGCACTTCCGGTTGGCACCCTCCACGACGTAAACTAAATCTCCTGCTTGCAACGGTCTTGCCTCACCGAACCACTTCGTTCTTTGGTTCAACGACGGCACATACTCCTTAATCCACCGCTCCCACATCACGCTGGCCAACTGCTGCGAACGCTGAAACGCATCCCGAAGGGCCACTGCCGGATGGGGAGGTGGACAGATACTACCAGGCTGGTTCGCTGACGCTCCCCGCAAGAAATGATTCGGGGTAAGCGCTTCTGCTTCGTCGGACTGCTGCGACACGTAGGTGAGCGGACGGGAGTTGATAATGTCCTCCGCTTCAACGATGGCTGTCTGCAGTATCTCGTCCGTTAGTCGCCTTCCATCATCAAGCGCTGTCAGCGCTTCCTTCACTGAGCGGACTAAGCGCTCCCAGACGCCTCCCATGTGAGGTGCGGCGGGGGGATTGAACGTCCACTTCGTTCTCGCGTTCGTTAGCTGGTCTGCACAGTCATCTCTAATGCCCTGTACAGCCTCCACCACTTCCTTACTAGCTCCACGTAGGTTTGTCCCGTTGTCCGAGAAGAATTCGATCGGCCAGCCCCGGCGACCAATAAACCGATATATCGCCATCAAACACGACTGGGTGGTCAGCCCATGTGCCACTTCCAAATGAACCGCACGTGTTACCATACAGGTAAACAGCGCAATCCACCTCTTCTCTGATCTACGTCCTACGGTCACATCGAACGGTCCCATATAATCGACCCCGACGTAGCTGAAAGCACGTAGATTCGGTGTGACCCGCTGTACTGGCAGCGGAGCCATCCTAGGAACTTCAGGACGACAACGATTCACCTTGCACCATACGCAGGACGCTGATACCTTCCTGACTACTGCATCTATGTGCGGGATGTAAAACATCTGCCGCAACTCGTTCTTCACTGCTTGACGGTACCCGTGGGCACTCTTCTCATGGTAGTGCTGAACTATCAGCCTCGTGATCCGATGGTCATCCGGCAGAATCACCGGAAATCGCAGATCGAATGGCAGAAATTCCGCTCGCTCCACTCTACCCTCCATCCGGATCAGTCCATTCTCGTCGATCAGCGGAGTCAGCTTGTATAGCGGACTAGACTTTTCGATAGTCATCCACTGGCTCACCGGACGATCCTTGTTTCTCGTTAACACTTTCAGTTCGTCGATGAAGCTCTCCGACTGCGCCACTTTCAGCAGACACTGCTCCGCTTTCTCGTACTCCTTTTGCTGCAACGGAACTCTGACCGATGCAATGGTTCTCGACTTCCGTGCTTTCTTTTGTCCGCTTGTCGCTCTTAGCGTCTCAATCGGCAGCTTTTCAATCCTTCGCTTACAGTTCGACACGAAACGGAACACGCACGCCATCGTTCGGACCAACACTGTCCACTTCGAGAAACGGTTTACGTCCACAAAAACCGCAGGCACCTTCACGTCATGTAATAGGAGGTGAATCCGGAGCTCCTCCATCGTGTTCGCTGGTGGCATTTCCTTTTCTGGCCACTCCTGCTCACTCTTGTACAAAAACGCTGGTCCTCGCGCCCACGTGCTGTCAGTATGCATTTCGGGTTCCTTGCCCCACTTCGTTAGTTGGTCTGCCACGTTTAGTCTTGACGGCACCCAACGCCAGTCCGTCAACTTCGTTAGGCTGAGTATCTCGCCGATCCGAAACCCGACGAACTGTTTATACCTTCGCTGGTCAGATCGAATCCATGAGAGCACTACGTTTGCGTCGATCCAATACACCACCCGGTCAATTGTAAAGCTATGACTCTCGAACACCATTCGTGATAGACGTGCTCCTAAAACGGCCGCTAGAAGCTCCAGTCGCGGTATTGAGATCTGTTTTAACGGTGCCACTTTGGCACGACTCATGACCAGCGCACACTGCACTTTACCTCGTACAGTTGCCCGAAAATACGCCACGCTTCCGTACGCCGCCTCGCCTGCATCAGCGAATACATGCAGCTGTATGTCCGTAACTTCATCTGATCTGGCATTTCCGAAATAACTCCGCGGTAGCTGGAACGATCCGATGTTCTTCATCATTTGTATCCATCGCCGCCATTTTTCGAAGGAAATCTGATTGATTTTCGTATCCCAATCACAGCCGGTCCGCCAGAGATCTTGGATCAGCATTTTTCCAAGTATAGTAACCGGAGTGAGGAATCCCACTGGGTCGAATTGCGCCATCACGTAACTGAGGATAATCCGCTTCGTAGGATACTCTTCGCCACCGATAACCATAAAGGATTCCGCTTTCGACATAGTTGCGAAACAGAATACGTCTTCCATCGGCTTCCAAACTATGCCCAGCACATGCTCATACTCGGCGTCTTTATCCCGGGAAAAATGAACTGCTCCATTTGCACTGCGATCTTCGAGTTCCTCTAGGAATGCCTCCGAGTTAGACACCCAGTTTCGTATATGGAATCCACCCTGCGAGTGGATGTACTTCACCTCCTTGGCCCTTCGTATCGCTTCTTCGACGGTATCTACGCTGTCATAGTAATCGTCCACATAATGTTTCTTAATGATCGCTGCCGCTGCTTCTGGATACTGCTCTGCGAACTGTCCCGCGTTCAGATTTTTTACATATTGGGCGGAGCAAGGCGAACACGTGGCGCCGAACGTTGCCACGTCCATCACGTATCCTTGAGGTGCTCCACTTTCATCCGTCCCGAACAGAAATCGTAGTGCTTGCTTGTCTTCACACCGAATATTCATCTGGTGGTACATTTCCTGAATGTCGCCTCCGAATGCAATTCGACCTTCCCGGAAACAGCAAACAACTTTCGGAAGGGGAACCAACATGTCCGGACCTTTCACCAATTCCGAGTTCAACGACACTCCTCCAACTGATGCAGCCGCATCCCACACCATGCGCACTTTACCAGGTTTCTTCGGATTTAGCACCACATTCAACGGAAGATACCACACCACCGAGCTTGGAGTATCTGCTAGTTCTTCTGCAGTTATCTTGTGTGCATAGCCCTTGGTCTGATAGTCCTCAATCTGCTGACATACCTTCTGTTTCAACGCAGGATCTTTCCCAAGCTTTCGCTCAAGCGCTCGCATCCTTCGAACGGCCATCGGGTAGCTGTCCGGAAATCGCCGTTCATCTTCACGCCACAATAGGCCCGTTTCGAAACGATTACCTACCCTTTTTGTCGTCGCTTGAAGGATCTCGCGAGCCCTTTTCTCCTCAATTGGTTCTGGGGGTGCGTATGATGCTGCTGCAGTTTCATCCAGCACGTACTGATTTCGGATCATGTCATGCAGTTCCTGGTTACTCACTGGTGTGACACAATGCAGATTCAGGTAAGTATGGACACACGGCTTCCGTTTCTCCGATCCGTAAATCGTCCATCCGATTTTCGACCGCACAGCGATTGGTTCGTTCGGTTCCCCGACCCGTGACTCCAACGGCGCGAACAGATGGAGATTGTCCAATCCGATTAGAATCGTTGGAAGTCCAGACGGAAAATCTCTCACCGGCACTCCAACAAGATGCGGATAACGGTTCACCATCTCAGCGTGAACGAAAACTTCTCCTTGGAGCCCTTCGCCGACATCATCATCTCTACACTACGCGATTCGTTCTCAAAACGGTTGATGTTTCCGGTCCACGTGACTATCAGTGGTTCAAGCGTTCCTTCTGCCTTCAGCCGTTTGGCCACCCCATCGTCCACCAACGTAGCAGACGACCCTTCGTCCAGAAATGCAACAGTGTCGTACTGTCGCTTACCGACATATAGCGTCACCGACATCATCCGGAAAATCACCGTGCAGTCTGATTTGGCTTTCTGCAATTGAACAGATTCTTCCACCCGATGGAATAGAGGATGGTGATTGCCTTGGCAGTTCCGCGCCATACACCGGATTTTCGAAAAACAACGATTTCCACCGTGCTTGTTAAGACAGACTCCACACAGTTTCTGCTTGTCCACTTCCCTTAGTCGTTGCGCAATGTTCATCTGCTTGAACTCTTCGCAGCTCTTGATCATGTGATCCGTCCGTTTACAAATCCAGCAAGGACGGCTGACCACCTCTCTGCGTAGTTCTTCGCTCTGCTTCTGCTCAGAGTCGTGCACATGCACAAACTCCTTCTTTCTAGGATTCTCTCGCCCATGCGACGCTCGCTCGTTCACCGACAGCGTAGAAAACTCCGTCACCTCGGACACGTCGGATACTATTTCAGTCATGAAATCCGTGAACATCCTCAGCGGACTATCTTCCTTTCCTCGCTTGTACCGCACCCAATCCAGTTTGTAACTCGGTGGTAACTTGTCAACCAACTCCTGTACCAGCATCGGGTTATTAAGATGATCGTTGAGTCGCGCAGCCTCAAGATGGTCGCACAACTGCTTCACCGTAATCCCAAATTTAACGAACATCTCCAGTCGATCAGCTCTCGGCGCTGGAGCGTTCCTCACTTTCGTCAGCAGCGACTTCAGCAGCTTCTCCGGCCTTCCGAATAGATTCCGTAGGTCACAAATCACGTTCGGAACGGAATTCGGCAGAACGAGCCGACTCCTCACTGCTTCGAGCGCGTCACCTTGCAAACAGTCCTGCAGTCGCTTCAAGTTCTCCAGGTTTGAGAACCCACATGCTTCCGTCGTATATTCGAAGCTGCTAATAAACAGCGGCCAAACTTCCGGTTCTCCACGAAATTTTGGAAGGTGATGCGAAATCGCTTTTCTAGCGGCCAGCTGATCCCTCGAGATTCGACCGCCGGTTCGCCCCGACCCGTCACCAGCTCCGTTACCACGCACACTGCCAGGTCGCTTGCTGCTCGCACGATCTTCCGACGAGTCGCTGCTTCCACAATCTTCTGAATAGTCGCTGCTCGCACGGTCTTCCGACGAGTCGCGGATTTGGCCCTCATCACTTGATTCGGCCTCCCGATCTTTAGCAGGCACCTCCTTCATCTTCTTCTGCTTATCGGTTTTTCTAGAACCCGACTCCATTCCATGTCGGTCCTCCCTTTTCGGGTACGCTCCTCGAGAATCCGTACCCGCTGGCTTTTCGGCTATCTTCTTCTGTTTCTGCAACTCCAGCTGCCCTTTCTGCTCCGGCTGCCTTTTCTGCTCCGGACCGTCCTTCGAAGATCCACCAACAGCGCCATATTGATCCTTCAGCGCTTTAATTCTATTGATGCTGCTGTTGACCTGCAGCCGGATTGCCTCCCGTTCCTTCAAAAACTTCTGCTCCGCAGCCAGTTGAGCCTGCAACATTCTCTGCTCGTAGTCCAACTGCTGCATCTCTATTTCTCGCCGGGCCTGGGATTCCAGTTCAAGCATCTCCCGTTCCTGCTTCAGCTTTTCTTCGTTCCACGCCTTCTGCCGAGCGAGTAACTTCTTCCGCACTTCCATTTGCTTCGCAAAGGCCTTCTCCTTGGCTAACTGTTCCTCTTCCAACTGCTTTTCAACTGGATCAACATCGAAACCAGCTCCCTGATCAGACCCTCCATCGCTCTTTTGGCCGGACTTCTTGCTACCTCGCTTCTTGCCTCCTGCGTCTGGAATCTTCAACTGCTGAACACTCGTTGGGACACACTGTGGGCAATACCAATTGGATTTCGCTACCTCCTGGTCAACACCCGCGCAAGAAAAATGAGCCCAATTTTCACACTTTCCGCATTGGACCCAATCTACGTCCTCCGACGTCGACTCTGACATGGAGCAAAACAAACATTTCTCGTCCTTGGAAGGTAAAAAGGCCATTCCGAAGTGCTTCGAAATAAAATTTTTGATTTTGTTCGGATCAAAGAAAAACAAAACCGTTTTTTTTGTAAATCAACCGTAAATAAAGTTGATCAAACTGCAAGAATTCGTTTAATATAGTGTTAGTGTTTATAGTTTGTGGTTTTAGTTGAAGTACTCACAATTTTAGTTATTGTTCCTCCTGCAAACAACCTTTCTTCTACCTAGACCGCTCTGAAATGTTCTTTCCGCCTATTACAAAATTCAGTGTTTTAATTTAATTCATTTGTTACAGTGTTTATCTCGTTTTACCTATCTGTGAGTCGTCTGCTTGCCGTTCCGTGTTTTGTAACCTCCACTGACCTAAATTTGTCCACAAACTTTCTATAAAATGCCCAAAGCACAGAATACTAAAAAAAACTCACTTTTAAGCACTTTCTAATCGATACTGTATTGTTTGTGATTTTCTACCTTCCGTTCTTTGACAGATTATCTTCTATTCATCTATCTATCCTCCTCTCTTCAATCCGTCACTTCATCTGTCATACTACTTACTACCTCATCGTCCAAATTCACTGCAGCGATGGAGGAGGGCAACGGCCAGTGTTGCCAGAACAAGATGTCTTGGCGAGCCGAGACCTTGACTATTTGAATTTAATTTATGTGTTTTTAAAACGGATAGATTTGAGGATTTAGAAGTTAGTGTCATCTTGTGTTCTCCCAAGTTGTTAGCTACCCATCGGTGTACCCCCATGTTTGTCTTTTTCATCAGAGTGTCGCCTAGTTCGAGATCAAGAGCACATTGCTCTCCAAACCTTGTGTTCACAATCCCTACCCTGCCATCCATTTGTTACAATTTGTTACCCCTAACCTCGAGATAGCCGCGAGTAATCGGCCCCCGCTTTACTAACGTTAGTTTTAAGTAATTTTGTTATCTAAACAATGAATATCGGCTCCGCAAAGCTACAGCAAATGAGCCTGGAAAAATAAACGAATTATTAAAAAAAAAAAGGGTAAATTAATTTCAATATTGATCATTCTTTGCTTTGTGACGTTTAACCATCTTTCTCTATCTACAGGGTGTCTACTCAGTTTTCTAAATAAAATTACCTGAGTTTTCCAAATAAGTAAGTCCATGATCTAAAAATATGCAATGTCTTGAAGTTTCGTTCATGTTCAAGATATTGAAAATTTTCATAATGCCAGAATTAAGGAAAAATAAATCTAGATAGAGCTGGAATTAGGGCGTAACAGCTTTTGTAAACAATGACTTCTCTCGATGATTTCTCGGAAATCATGGCTCTCCATGGCAAATCGACATCACCATCGAGTAGAGGAAGGCTTCTCCTACCCGATGGATATGTTGGTTTGTTTAGTCGTGCCTTGAATTCCGAGAAATCAACAAGAGAAGTCATTGTTTACAAAGGCTGATACGCCCTAATTCCAGCTCTATCTAGAAATGATCTATTTCAAGATCGTAATAGAAAACTTGAGGGGTATTGTGCAATTTTTTAAGAAGTTCTAAGCACCTCAGAAAAGCTAGATCTAGAGATCTTCAGGGAATTTCAGATCTAAAGAGCAGTCCCCGCAACTTTAGTCTAGACTTTTGAAACAGTTTAAAGATCTATAATCGTAAATTTAGGCTAATTCAGGATAGTTCCATGATTTGCTGAAAAAACATCGAGAACCCTTAAGATGTTCCGAGAATTTCAGGGAAGTACAGAGACCTTCAGAGAATTTATGAAAACTTCAGAAATATTTCAGGAACTTAACAGAAGTCCAGAGAATTCCTGGCAAATTTAAAGGTGTTTACGGGAATTCTATTTATTTCTTAGCATAACCGAGATCTTCAAGAGCCTTAGGGAAGCTTCGAGAACATCAAAACAGATCAGAGAATCAAAGGGCGGTTCAAATAATTTCAAGGAAATTGTAGAAACCTTAAGGAAGTTGCGAGAAACTCAGGGAAATTGCGGAAACTTCAGCAAAGCTCTGAGAGAATTTCTGGAACGTGATAAAAATTATATGAACATCCGAAAAACGTGAGAGTATTTTAAGATGGAGATTTCAAGAATTTAAAAAAAAAATCAAAAAATTTGCTTAGTTGAGTTCCAACGGAGTTCCATTGATTAAAAACATTTAGCAAACAGCGATATCTTCAAAAAATTCCAGAGAACTTCTAATAAATTTAGATAGTTTCATGATATTCAGTGAAGTTTTGAGTACTTCGAGGACGATCAGATAGAGATAGCTTCACAATAATACCATTAACTTAAACAGACTTATAAGAAGTTCCGTGGAACTATGGGTTATTCCAAGAATTCTATGATTGATCCAAAAGCGTCAGAAGTGTTAGGATATTATGAATATATTTCAGAAAATTTGCCTGATTATTAAACAAATTTAGAGGAATTCAAGTAGTATGCATAGATAAGTTCAAGGAAAATTAGTGAGCGTTTATAATGGTACTTAAGGAAAATTGACGAAACTTCAAAGCAAATCATTAATTTCAGTAAAGTAGCGGTTCTTAAAAAATACTGATAAATTCAGAGCAGTTTAGAGAACTTTAAAGAAATTAGTAATCGTTCAGGCACTTTTCATAACACCAGGAAAGTCTATACTATTGAAGAAGTTTTAAATTAGTGTCGATAATATAAGGAAAGCTTCATGAACTTCAGAAAAATCTTGACAACTTCAATGAAAATCATTATTTTGTTCTAATTCCATGAACATTGCTTCCATAAACATTTCGGGGGCACAAAAGTTCAAGAAATTTAGAAAAACTTTGGAAACTTCACAGTTCATTGGCATTTCTCCTCACAAATTCCTTAGAATTCTTCTCATTATTTGTTTGGTAAATTCTCATGAACATCTCTGATCACGCCTTCCTTCGGAAGGGAAGTAAAGCCGTCGGTCCCCTGTTCATGCGTTGATGGGTCGATAGGTAGGGTCCAGGTGTGGGAGCTGCCTTCCTGGCGTCGGTAGCATTGGTGCTCAGCACGGAAAACAAGATCGACGGAAAACAAATCAAGGAACAAAAATAATGCTCTGAATTAGTTTCCTCCCACAAACTTTAAGAAAGTATCCTCAGAATACCTTTGGAATTTTCCTCTGAAGTTCAGGAATTTTACTGCAGATTCTTGAAAATTTCTTGAAGTATTATAGATTTTTTTTTTTTTTTGTATATTAATTTATTTGATAAGGCTCAACCGAATTAACTTAACAGAGCCGAGGATTCACGGTCACTATACAATACATCTTAAAGCTATAGTCAAAAGGTACAACACAATAAACACTTTATCTTCCGCTATCCAAAAAGCCTCCTCCATCAGAACTGGAGCCGCTTCCAGTAGTTTCATTGAATGGCAAATTGTTGTACGCCAACGAGGGTCAGAGCGCGTCCATTGCAGCAATGGATGCAAAACGTGGTCAGCACTCACACACTCATCACGAAACGGTTGCTTTCCAAAGTCGACGACGCATCGACCGAAAGAACTGCTGATGAAGAACAATGAGGAGGACCACACAATGGTTGCTGCCGAGTAAACAGACGATCGCGTAGCACACATCGAGAGTGGCCTGCTTTTGTCAACAGCCGAGTGAACACTCGTATTATAGATTTAAATCCAGAACTAGCTCAAATTTAAAATTTCTAGGAAATATGCAAAACCAAAAAAAAAAAAGCTCGTCTTTTTTTTTTTTTTTTTTTAATTTATTTGTTATTGAAGATTAATCCACTGTGGCTCTATAAAGTTCAAAGTGTGAATGAAAATAACGAGAAAAAGTAAGTGCTTGTTTTTCTTTTTATAATTTATTCTTTTCTTTACAATATCCTTATCCTTAGTAAGAAAATTATTAAATTCTCTGAGGTATTTTAAGGAAAAATAAAATTCCCGGTTTTTGCAGTTAGAAGCAGTGTTGTGAAAATATCAAAAGATCGAATCTCACCAATGTGCATAATCTCATTTGAGTATCGTAAACCAAAAACTCAACACGCAAACAACAGCCGATGATATTACAAGCTGTGATACGGTTGCTATGATATCATGCTAACAAAACTCCGCGGCTACAATTCCCATCAAACTGTGTTGAGTTTGAGCTTCAAGATTTTTGCTGTACATCCGAACACGAAACGAAACTTCTATCACTGCTGGCAGCAGTAACTTCGTGTCTGCCATCTGTGAAGCGTAGAGAAAGATAGCAAACTATGCTTTCTCTTTCTAAGAAAACGATGTGCAAAGGAATCATTTTTGTGGTAAGTCAACTCGTGGCTGCAATTTTACATGTTCTAAATAGTCTCGCAATATCAAAGGAGCTTGTAAAAACAATATCATGCTTGATATTTTATTCCAATATCATGCGTGATATTGGGAGCCCTTGAGAGAGAAACAAATCATTTGAGTGAGGATTATGCCATCACTGGTTAGAAGACACTTTGACTAATACCGTGGGTCTGACCATAAACTTTCTATTGAATCTTTCGCTTTAAAGGTTCATATCGTACATAAGTGTTTATGAGATACTCACCTCTATTCCCGTTTTCGTTCGAATCGTTCGTTCGTACGAACGACTCGATTCGAACGAGTTCGAAAACGGCATTCTGGTTTTCGTACGAACCCGTTCGAACGAAAGCTTTTTCGAAAATAAACAGTGTTAGTGGTACCAGATGCACTTTGACATTTCTTAACAATTCGAAGCATAGACCGCGCACGAAATTGACATTATTCGGTCAAGTGGACTGTCAAACGATGTCAACAAAACAATAACATTGTTGAAATTTTTTGGTTGAAAATTTGAAAATCTCACTGATTTGAAAAGATAACTTGCTGATGTCTTCTGAGAAGTTGTTAAGCAGAAAGTTGGCCACCTTTTGGTGAATCGTCCCGGTTTCCGGTAGGATACAAGTCTGATCCTGTGGATGATCCGGAATATCCGTAAAAGTGGTCAATTCATGAAACTGATCCTAGAACTCCGCGTTTTTTAGAAACCACTCATAAACGTCTTATCAGAATGAATTCGTTGTGACCGAAATATGGACACTGGGGACTACAGGATGGTCCTCTAAAAGAACCGGAACATCCGTAAAAGTGGCCAATTCATGAAACTGATCCTAGAGCTCCACGGTTTTTTCAAAACCACTCATAAACGTCTTATCAGAATGAATTTGGAGTTGTATCTGGAATATGGACCCTGCGGACCACGAGATGGTTCACCGGAAGATCCGGAACATCAGAAAAGTGGTCAATTTATGAAACTGATCCTAGAGCTCCGTGGATTTTTCAAACCACTAATAGACGTCTTATCAGAATGTATTTGGAGGGACTACATGATGGTCCACCGGAAGATCCGGAACATCCGTAAAAGTGGTCAATTCAT